TTAAGGAATTGGCTTCGAGCTTTATTTATTTTCCCAAGCACCTGTGATCCATCCAACGAATACTTGGGTTTTTTTGTTAATGCGAAGTGAATATCTCTATATCTCTTGATGTGGTCCATTGAATCACTAGTTATCAGATTTTTCCGACAAACTAAAGACAAAAAGACAGCAACCGCAAATCATGTAATTTAAACAATACTTATGCATGCCTATGCAACTGGTGTATCATACATGGCTGGGAAAAATATGTACCTTATTATGTCATCTTTACTAATTATGCTTACTAATCGTATGTGTAATTTACCGAATTGATGATGCCTGTAAACTGGCGTCCCTCATGTACAAGAATGATAAAATATATTATTGTTATTGATTGACAGCACTCGTTCCATTAATCCCTGACTTTCTTGCCTTTTTTTGTATTATGTTACTCTACCCGAAACTTACTAATTTTTAGCTGTTTTTTTAAAATAACCATCTGTATTTTTTTGACAAACTTAATGTACACACGCATACGTAATGAACTGTGTTAAGTGTATGGACGATCGTACCAATCCAATGTCTGTTAACCCTCAACTTCACTGTGCTAAGATGAGCAGCTCTCTATCGGGAGTCAGAAACTGGTCTTAAATTGAATCCTCCCGAATGTCAGACTGTTAATTTCCGTTTCCGATGGAAAAGAAAGTTAGATGTAGCTGTTAATTCCTACGACCGTTGCCAAGCTGATGATAGTGATATAGAAATCAACTTTGATGTTAAGTATCCCGGACGAATCTATCACACAGCATACCAGCTTTAAATGTATACCACAGGCAGACATTCTTTTTATGAATTGAGTGTGCAAATCAAAAGCTTGTACGTACATTCAGTAATTATAAGGTTAACTAGTGTCTAAGAACTACGACTTGACCAGTTGTACAAGGTTTAATATATGTATATATATATATATATATAACATATATATATATGCAGTCAACGTACTCTGCTTACTTGTATGACGCATTACCCAAAGTAACCTTAAAATAGTTTCTGCTGAATGTAATCTGCTATTGCCACTACCTTAGTGAGCAGCTTAACACTGCCTTTGAATCACAAAGTAAAAGTGGAAATCCTGCGAACTTTCTTGGTAAAAAGATCGCCTCCTAGTCGAAAAATTAAAAATACCCTAAAATCCATGAAAGTGTTTCGAGATATTTATCGTGTCACCTCAAATGACTCACTATTTGTGGTCACTTAGAATTTAAATACAAATTTGAAGAAGACAAAGCTTATGAGTTCCAGGCGTTGTGATGCACCATGAGGAAAAAGCTTTATCCATAGGGTTATAACGTTAAAACGCACGATATTAATCCGAAGTATAGCGATTACGGTGCTCAGTCACAGGACATATTGCTCTGCTGCCTATTCATCTAATCTTGTCGATAAACGTTTCGCCGAGAAGAAGAAGACCATTAGTTTAAGGAAAATTAATTTAAAGTTTTCTTAGAAACCATGGACATCCCGTAATCATACCCATCGAGAAGTTACAAACATCCGAAGGTAAGAATTCGATTATTTGAACTGAAACAAGCAATTTGTATTCAGTCAGTGTTTTTACCCCGAATAATAATCAGCTTCTCAGCTTGTTGTAGACCACAATCCTAACCACTATGCTTGCTAATTCAAGTCTTAACTTCATTTTGGACATTACTTACGCTCAATACATCACCGTATGCTATCCGCTCTTTAAATCGTTTTGCAAAATATTGAATGGCTGATAACAGTGGCTTTACCACGACAGTTCTAGTTCACGCATTTGGGTTGAGCATATCAGGCATTAAAAAGCTATTTTTCATTCCCAGGGTAGTGTAGGGCTTCAAGTTAGAAGCTAGAAGTTTCTGTAGCAGTTTATATTTTTCAGGATAGGGTTGCTAGCCTCATGCCCAAACTTCCTTCGTCACCGGCTTTTTTATTGCTGGCTTAGTGAGGTAAAGTGGTGCGTCGGCCGGAAATCGAACCCCGGACCATATACATGCCCGGCAAGTATTCTATCTTCTGTGCCACCGACGCACCATTAACAACCACATGTGTCACTTACCCCTAAGAGGTTTCTGACTGCTTCCCAGTTTCTTATTGTTCCTGAAAATACGCACAAGCACAACAGATTCACACTTGAAATGTGGTTCAACTTTGTTTAATTTACATCCTCTCACAATATATTGGGTGTTTTTTAACTGGTAATAGATATACTGATGGTATATTCACATTCTCGAAAGGCTTAAAAACTTCTTCAACTTCAAACCAGGTTCTGAATTCTCCGGGTTTAATATGTTCTTCAAAAACTTTGCTAATATCAACTGTGATCGTACTGTCCTCTCCAGACTGACTTGTAGATTGTTGCATGCTATGAACATGAACGCGAAATACAATGTTTTTTCCAGATTTCCACATATTAAGTAGTTCAGCCAGGAACAATAACGGCAACCGAAAAATGGATTGGAAACAACAGCTTCTGCCACCCAAATATGTTCATGTGAATGATTTCCAAAATTTGTACACAATACTATTTCATAAGCAGCTGAAAAACAATTAAAATGTTGCAGCCACGCATGAATACAAAGAACGAAACAATTACAAAGAAATGAATGAAATAACCTGGTGGTAAAAGCTTTCGAAACTAGCAAAACTAATTTTAACAACAGTGGAAACAAAATTGGGATGAAACTTGACATTTGTGAACAGAGAGCATCGAGACAATTTGTGAATAACCGCAGGATAAACGTAAAAACCAATGTGTAAAAAAAGGGTTATGGAACGGCAATCTAACATGGCTGACTGACGTGGGCGAGAGTGGTCTTCAAGTGTCTAACTCTCCCAATGACCTTGTGCGTACGGGATAAGTCTATTCGCAAGAGATAATTACAAAACTAGTCGGAACACAGGAATACATATCAGTGCTAGAAGAAAATTGTCCAGGAGGTTTTTTAGGGTCATGCCTTCTGCTATATCTTTGAACAAGTTTGTGATATTTAAATTTAAAATCTTCAGTTTCCTTGTCCAAACAGTTGTCAAGGTTGTAGAAGAAGGTACGGATTGTTGTGGTTAGGTAATCATTGCTGATGTGATCTTCGTTTGATGTTCCCAATCGGCGATTGTATGGGATGACAGTTTTTCTCCGTCATAATTTATGCGTGTTATATCTAGTAGAGTGGGCGTGACGGCTGCACTGCTACTTGAGAGCGATGTTGGTGCACGCAGTTCCGTTTTATGATGCTTTTCTGGAAATAGGGGGTGAAAAAATAAGAGTTGGCACAAATGGTGGCTGAAGTCTGGTACGTTGCTACCTCCTAATCGTGAAGATTGGTTTTCACCTGAGGTCACCCATGATGCCTATGGATCTACCATATACAGCTACCAACTGGGTGAATCCCATTTGACTTCAATGCGTTAAATTCTCTCCATATAATCTTTGTCCACGTGGAAGGTTAGATGTCTGTGTGAAGGTGTTTGAAAATTGGGTCCAATAGTCGCCGTGTGTTGTGCAAGTTCTTCCGGAGAGCACTGTGTCACCTTGAACTTTTACGGGGACTGGAAACTTGAGTTTCGAAGTCGTGTGATTATAACTGATATGATTATGAACAGCGAATTTTGTTCGAAACGTCATCCAGTAAATAATACCGTTTCGCTGTTTGACAAATCTAATAAACAAACATATGTGGAATAACTTACTACCAGTGCCCAAGTTTTACATATATATTAGTATATAACTCCAGACTGAAAGGGTTGGTGACACCAAAGATGGGTGTCCAAGAGACAGACTTTACTAGCAAATTGCCGTCCAGGAAATGACAAATACGTCATCCCTGCAGTTGCTGCATTGTAGGAAACCACAGTTATCGATACACAGTGGGGCCTGTCTACACCAACAGTGAAGCATGAGGAGAATGGAAACATAATGGTATCGAATATTCATAAATGCGAGTTATTAGGAAAAAAATTCATATCGCGAAAATTTTCTTATGGTTCTGCATTACAACCTGCATTATTAAATATGTACCGGGTTAGATGAACAGTGCGTTACTACATGAGTTTGTGACTTCTTCCATACCGTGCGTTATTCGTTTTTATTTTCAGTTTTAAGCGCCTCACGATATCATATTTGTACTTTAGGCGTGAGGTTTACTGTGGCATTTACTACCAATTACCCACTTATTAGCCATGAACATCGAACCATATATATGTATATACTATGGTTCGGTGTATATATATATATATATATATATATACATATATATATATAATCCAGACAGAATACACTTGGGTAATGTGGGCTTAATAAGTAGTTTTGATGGGCAAATAGGTAGGGAAAAGATGGTGTAAATGCTACATAATTTGCCCACTTTACTCATATCTGCCACTTTTTACCATTTGCACATATCCAGAAAAGTTTAGTTGTCCCACTTTTTCCCAGTTCACCCACCTTTTCAGCGAACACTTCATTCACTTTTTCCTGTTTTTCCCATACCATTTTCTAAAATAGCCCACTTAATCTCACTTCACCCATGTTACAACCGAAAACAGCTTACCTTTTCCCACTTTGCCCATATGTGAACGGCAAACTTCCCACTTTTTTACCTACATATCCCAGGTCTGAAAAATTCACCGTCTGGGTATATCTATAGGATTGAAAGTAATAAGATTCCATTTCTGTTCTTCTGTGAAGTAATGTGGTACTCATAGAGGTTTAAAATTACCATTTCAGGCGAATGACTAGCATAGTGACTCTAAAAGTGACAACTTGTATAATCACGGGAAAAATGTTTTTTCCTAACTTCACCTACCGGAATAGTGCGTCGGTGGCTTAGTGGTTAGGACGCTCGCCGACCATGCACATGGTCCAGGGTTCGACCGCCGGCCGATGCACCCGTTTACCTCGCTAAGCTAGAAATAAAGCTGGTGAAGAGGGAAGACTAGTCATAAGGCTAGCAACTCCATCCTGTAAATTAAACACTGCTACAGAAACTTCAAGCCTCTAGCTTGAAGCCGTATGTCCCACTAGGTACGTGAAGGAATAAAAAACTTATCGGGATAGATTTTTCATGCACCTAACTAGGAGACACACCTTTCATGAGAGAGCTGATGATACTGACAAGTTTTCCATACAGAACTAGGCGAATTGGCACTCGGACCTGTGACTCCTCAGCTGGAAACCAAGTGCTCAAGCCAATTAGCCACATCTCCACGCAGGAAAAATGTATCGTAAGTGAAAAAGTAGTACATATGTGAGAATTCAAGTAACAGATAATATGGTTGTTATGTTTTGTTGTATTGTTAAACATGGGGAGAGAATAATGTTTCTCCATGGAAATTTCTTAAACCAAGTGACAATTTTTTCACATTCTGAGCTTCCCTTAAATTTCGGAGGCTGTCCAGTATATATTCAATAAATACATGTTAGGCTGCCGCAGAATGTATATGTAGCCTCTGGTGGCTTTACGAGTGTTATAAATCCATTACACTATTACACAGCTCTCAACCAAATATGCATGCATAGAACTGAGACTATAGTCCAAGAATAGCATTCCTGACTGGTTATCTTAATTTTGAATGTAGTTTAATATCATTTATCTTCTCTGATACCTCCAAAGCCTCAGGATGGTCGGGGGTGGGTGTCTTGCGCTGCGGGTTGGCCACCCCTCCGTACACCTCTTGAAATACTCCCATATGACCGGGCGTCTTACATAGCCTCTCCTGAGGAAGTCCTACTCACTGCCTTCACGTGGCGGAGGTGTTTTTCACCAAAGTGAGAGGGCAAAAGCGGATGCCCGGCGCTCTTCACCGGGTTGACTGTCCATTGGATGACAGTCTAGGGGAGATGTCTAAACCCTGATTCCAAACCTCCAACGACTGGCGTATGAAGCTCACCGGCAGACGTATGGACAAAGGGCTTATTGGATGCCCTGGATGACTGGCCCCATTCAAAAAGGCGAATGAACCGGACTCCGGTCACCGGCTCCCAATGGATAGTGGACTCCCTACTCCACTCCTACTGCCTTGTAGGTCACACTTGGTTGTGTAAAGGCTAGAGCTGCACTCTCAAACAAAAGGCCGAGCGATGCTGGGGACATCACTCGTACCCAATTCCCATGAAACTTCATGGTTCATGAAGCCGGCTCATCCTCCCGTAGGAGATAGCCGAAGTAAAGTAAAGTAAGTATACCTTATACTGGTGTGAATAATCTGTTAAACAAGTGGTGGGCCAAATAGAAGAATGTCGTAGTGGTTTTAAGTTTTTGGGAGCTCATTCTTTTACAACAGTGACGCTTTAACTCCAGACTGTTTTTTCAGGCGATACAGTTGTCTGAATTCAATGATGCTCAATCAAATTTGGTTCGCTCGGTGAATAGCCTAACAGAACTGTGCACAAAAATGCATCACTTCAAAGTATCACATTTCGAAGAAGCAACGAAATAAACATTGAATAGAGATGTATGAGAGAGAGAGAATTAAATGATATCGTTTACATCTACTCCATTGCAAGCCACTTTTAGTCATATCACGGTATCACGGGCTACTGATTCTTAACATGTTGAAGAACGTAACCAGGTTATCTGCACTTTGCTATGTGACTGACACCAGCAGTCATGGATTGGTTACATGTTTTGCTCTGATCACATTTAACTCTTCCAGCTCAAACTTTCTTCAGGTGAGATCGCTCATCAACGAAAGTGGGGGCTTGGAATATGTAGTGCATGTTCCAGATATATCGATCGGTGAAACTGCATACTATCCTTATCCAACACTTAGTGTATAACTAGCATTACCGACTGTATTGTACTACCTAACACAAGCGGTTGAATGCAGACATATATAGTCAAAAACTGTCAACCTCTTCATACCCCACAACTTTAGCGGTCGTGTCTCAGCTTAGTTATTTGTTAAGTATAGACCTTATGTTTTCATCAAAATAACTACACTTGAATTTTATGTGTATACATACATTCAAAGCTCAAAATGCAAGAGATTAGGTTAGTGATATATGCTGTTCATTTTAAAGATGTTCAGACGTTGAAAGCTCTTGTTCTTTTCAAGAGACTTCAAGATGTGTTTCTTTGCTAACTTAGGTCATCTCTGGCGTAGGCATGGTATCCGGTTATCGACCAAAGGATGTGTTTACTGTAAAGCAGTTGTCTCTGTGATTTATGGCTGTGAGACATGGCCATTGAGAATGATGACCTGTGAAGGCAGATGCCTACATTCTGTCTCCCGTGTTAAGTGATATATAGCAATATTAAAGTTAGACATAGTGTTAGGCAAGGAGGGCAACTCAATAAGACTGTGAAGCTATATCAGTCGAGATAGCTAAGACACTTGTTATGCATGACAAGTCAACACCTTCCTCATCCAGCAGTGTTAGTGACATACGGTTAGGTTGGAAAAGATTTAGGAGTGGCCAAACCAAGATATAGAGTCAATCTATGAAGTCTCTGGCTATTCGTTTGAGCCGCATAATGTGTGGACTGCTTGTGTGGGATCTCCGAGATGATAACAACTAATGACTTGAGACTTTCGGTGATGTGGCAGTCGGTTGGGGATTAAGCGGAGACTATGCATAGATAACAACGGGTAACTCCATTCTTTCTTCTTCTAACGGATCTGTTCAGACGGACTGCACACATACGACTATATACTGGGATCTAGTCAAAGGATGATATTTCTACCCTAACACTCGATGCTATTCCTACACTTGCGAGTCCTCGCAAACTAGCTGAGGAGTCTCCTGATACCCTTAAGGTGAATTTCGCAGATTTACTTTGTTGGCCGGGTTGGGTTAAGTAAATAACTACACTCTAGTCTTGTATGCTTGTCTCTGAGACACAACATACATCCGTGGCTCAAGATGCTGGAGTTCTAGCTAGTAATGCTTGTTGTCCGATATGGAAGAGGGGCCTGACGTTAAATACTCCAATATAAAGTTGGTGGCGTGGCTTTAAGAGGCTGTCGTGGGTATTTTTCTGGCTCATCGTTATTTGTGGTCACAGAATGAAATAAAGATGACTAGTCAGCCTGCACAATAGTACTGATAGTAGTAGGAAAGCAAGATGATTAGGGTGACAGGTATAGAAGAAGGAGGATGATCATGAGGGCTCCATGTGCTTTTGAAAGTGTGTACATGGTTGTTACTTCCCGTCTGCCCACACCGTAGAAGTTGATTTATTCTTGGGGTACCTGAAAGAGAAAGAGAATCAGTGTTTCGTGACCACGAAGCCCTGGTGACAACCGCTTGAGGTCGTTTACACACGGCCTGTCTAAACTGGCTTTTAGGTTTGGTTCCGTATTAGTAACTACGTTGAAACCAGTCAGTAGTCACCACCTTATACGGACCACCGTAGGGTAAGTCGGGATGTATAATTCTTGGAGTCTACTTTTTCTAACCCCTCTCTCCAGAGTGGAGACACCGCATAGCTGGCTTACTAGTCATCTGAGGGAAATACCCTGTTCCCATGCAGTACGACTTTGCTCACAGACCGTCAGCATATTGTAAAAGATCTTACACTATGCCGGTAACTGTTTTTAGTCTAATTGCTATCCTAACAATCTTTCTGGCATGTTAGAACATGCAGGAACATTAGTTCCATCCGGTGTAGCTTGTTGGGTCATTGCAATCTGCAAGCCCGACCACCACTTCAAAGTAGCAGCTGTCGGTCGAAACAACTCTGAGTACCTTTAGCAGTGTAAAAAAATCTTTCTTAAATAGCCCAGGAAAGACTAAGGGAAATGAGTAGAGAAGGACAAATAGAATACAAAAATTAAAAAAAACTGTGAAGTTAGTAACTGAGTGGCGTCAAACTGTCTTAACTTCCTTACATAGAAAGTTAAACGAAATCTCTTTCTAGAAAATAACATGATGTGGGAAGACAAGGAAAGATCAGAGAATACACACTATGATATGTTTAACATTCGATTTAGTTCCAACTTCAGTGCCATCTATGATAGTGGAACCATGTGAACTAAATAGTTCCCTCTTTTCTGGACTTACTACCGAGTAGACAAGGTTTAAGAGTGAGTTTGCTGGGAATTAAACCTGAACATTCTGTGTGAGTGGCGGACATTCTACCATTGAACAACCGATGGATCAATCTGACTAAAGTATCTAAGGTCAGGATCATGTAAAAACAAAGTTGAGCACAGGTAATATAAGCTTTAGAAAACTAAGCAAGTTTCAGGCCCAGGAGAGGGTGCTTTGATTAAGTACCAACACTTTGATAGGTTCCGGAAAATGCATTACTAATATTCACTACTTTTCATAGTGACTTTTAATCCTCTACCGAGAAATGTTATAGCAATTTCCCACGTTGAAGTGCGTAAGTTTGTTAGTTTGGTTTGATACCCTAACTTCATTATGTACAAAACTTCTCCGATATATCTAAGAAATCCCATGGTACAAAAGTTAATATATTTTTGCTATACGGTGGCCACATCTGACTTCACTAGCGCCTTTCATCTTCGTACGATTTCCTGTTTTTGTCTTTTCTGACAGTGTTTCGATTTTTTATTTTGTCCATATCACTTAGTCTGCTTAAGACATGTTCATCATTGTTACACAGATTATATTGAATCTGTAAATACTTTTTTTACCCAGATAGACAGTTACTTTTAATCATTTGAAACAGGTTGCTGCTGTCAAATGTTGATAGAAATCAGGTTTAGGTGTAGGGTGATAAGCAAAAAAGCTAACTCATTATTATATGTCAAGGGATGGGTCAATACCTCGGAGTCATTGTGTTTATTTTAGTACTGTTGCCTTCGTTACTAACGTTACCACTGATCTAATGTGAAATTAGACTGTATCAAAGTGTCCCACTCTAACAGAAACGACTTAATGTTTCAATGCCTGCATCTTCTTCCGGTTTTAAGACTAATTTACAACTCTATGGTTTTAACTTTAAAAAAAAATAAACTTAGGAATTGAGGAATGTTTGTACAGGTCAACCCAAAAGGGTTTTATTTTCTCTTTACGTTTATTATCAACTGGTATATAATTGGAAGCAGACTCACCGCCTTTTCAAAGTCTTACTCCATTATTTCTTGATTTATCTTCTTAATAACAACTACTCATCCGAAGTACTGTTGGTTCCTCGTCAACTAGTCATAATTTAAAGTTCCGTTATACGCCTTACCATCTTCTGCCTAATGGCGTCTAATGTATTTTAATTACATGATGATTGGCAATCTCGAGGAAAAATTACAAGTTAGTACGGTTGCAGTTTCTGTCTTTTTTTAAACTTGCATCATTAGTATGTTAATGAGTATTATTTTTTCCTTTTTTAATTCTTATTTCAGGTGTTATAAAGATTAAAGACTGTTCGCAATAGTTCATTTAATCTCTGAATCGTCTTACAGAATGAATTTCTAGTGACAATGACTTCAGAAAATTTTAGTCGGTTACTTTCTCAACAGGCTTCTGACATTGAAGCTACTGAACGAGAAATTACCAAGTTGGAAAAATTTAAGTCAGATTATGAATCTGTAAGCAACAAAATTCAAGAGTTGCAGAAATCAGTTTATAAAGAAGCATATATCCCATTCAGTCGTAGAGCATTAGTTCGAGGTCGTCTAATCCATACAAATGAATTGTTGGTTTATCTTGGTGGAACAGATGATTATTTTGCTGAACTGTCTGTTTACGAAACAGTTCAACTTCTCAATCGTCGTATAAAACAATTAGAAGTGAAATTAGATGGATTAAATAAACAAAAAACGCTGTTAACTGATAGAATTGCTTATACAAAAGATTTAGTTTCACAAAAATCAGTTTCTGTATCGAAGAATTCTAGCACTCCGTCAACAGCTGATCCTATTTCAGAATCATTGGAAAATGAAAAAGAAATCGAAATCAGAGAAGAGTACGATTCAGATGCTGAGATTGAATGGAAAAAGAAACATTCTCTCAGTCGAAAACAGGAACGCCTTAAAAATGCATCACAGTCCTCTCCGGTGCTTACTACTCGTAAAGTTTCTTTCGATCTATCGGATCAAGTTTTTGAAGATAAAACTTCCGATTCAGAAAAATCACCTACTTCTGAGTCTGAATTTGAAGATAATAACCTATCGACTATATATTTTAAACATTCAGGTATACCTTCATTAGTCCCGAGAAGGAAAGTTGTCGACCTTTCTACTCTAACTGTTGCAGAAGCTGTGAATCTCGCCGATGGGCTGTGTAAAATACAAAGTGGTAGTAAAATATTTTCAGTAGAACCATTCCGTGATATATGTGAACGAGCACCAACTGCGCTAACAGAGCCAAATACTTCTTCGTCTACTGTAAACACTGAGAAAAAACGATGTTCCCAGTTCCGTTCATCTCGTATTAGAGATTCTAAACTTCCATGAGTTTTCAGGATTCTTCAATGTTATGGATAGTGCATTGTAAAAATCCACAAGATTCTTATTTTTGTATTGCATCATGATTTATTTACAGCACCGAAAAAAAAAGAAACGTATGATCTTTTTCAATAATAAATGCATTTTAGTGATGTTTTTACAGGCTTTTTTCGCGTTGAATATGGAAATCATGGGAATTAGGTTACGTGCATAACTTGTGGTGATTGGCTACTGTAATGTTAGTAGCCTGCTTGAATCCACGTGGTGTCTTATTTCACGAAGCTTGACGCTTACGATATGTCAGGAATTGACTGTTATTTTGATGTGGTTGTGTTTTCTGAGCTGGATGGTTAATTTGCGAAGCTTACATCTTCAGCGCATACTTCAGTTTGAAGTGAGCTTTTAGATTTCTCCACGAGTTTATTAATCATCTCTCCTGGTGACCTTGGACGTGATTAGTTGTTTTTGTGTGTTTTCATACCTTCTAGGTTACTTGTATTGGAACTGATTGTTTCTTTGGCTAGAAGGTATAAGAACACACAAAAACAACTAATCACATCCAAGGTCACCAGGAGAGATGATTAATAAACTCGTGGAGAAATCTAAAAGCTCACTTCAAATTGAAGTATGCGCTGAAGATGTCACCCAGTAGGGTGATGAAAGCTTCGCAAATTAACCATCCAGCTCAGAAAACACAAACACATCAAAATCATCCACCTGAGCTACAAATCTTCTCTATCATATTGACTGTTATAGATCGGCAAGTGGTGATTATCATCATTGTATGGAAATATTGTGTAACAAACCCAGAATTTAACTTTTGACTCGTTGCATAATATTAATTGAAGTAGCGAATGAAAAATGCAAGAGTTAAACACACGCTAGTTTTCATTTTAGTGAAACAAAACATTTAATAAGATGATAAGCAATCCTTTAAGTTATCTTAAGTTAATCGAGTGTAAAGAAAACGATCAGATACAACTACTGGATAACACAATATTTCTTGAGTATTGCACTAGCTAGCTACTGTAGCTGTAAGCAGTTAATTGTTTGACAGCTGAGTAGAAACCCTCAGTAATTGTAGTAGAATGATGACCACCATAGTAAATAGGTACCCCTTAAGTCAGCAAAGTCTCAGATTAGGAGTTCTATGATTTGAATCTTTTCTCGACCCGAATTTTACTTTACCGCTAACCAATACAGATTACGTTAACATAAGTCTATCAAAGCAAGGTTATTCCCGATTGTCTCATCAACAATGAAATTTTAGACAGAATAACTAATGAGTGAATGATAACTTAACATATAGTCACTGAGTTGCATTCATCGTCTATTTACAGAATTCTGATGGACATATCTTAAGTGTTTACTTTTGGTGTATGTTCATTTTAAGTATATTAAAGAAAATCAAGCAATTGCGTAGTATGTTTATTATTATTATTTATAGTCCTCTAATCTTGATAGTATACATGATAAGGATATAGGAATGAGTGAGTGAATAGATCTGAGAAAATCTGCATCACAGTATTTCAAAAATATATATCAATACACACTATCAATCAAAAAAAACTGGAATCATTAGAATTGATTTTAATGAACGAAAATATGTGTAGCTGTGGAGTGTTGGTCTTCATTACGTCCTAGTACAAATATATGCTTTTTTAACCATGCAACTAAACGACTCGTCAGTAGATCTGAACCCATAGCACCAGCTTCTAATCCAATACCATCAGATGTTCCATCATTAGCATAAGGTGCACTTGGAGCTAATGCATGTCCAATGCATTGTGCATTACCGGTTAGATTAACACCTTCCGTAAGACATTCTTTCAGTGATTTTGAAATTAAATTACATCCCATTAGGGAATTACATTGACAAGCCAGTAAAGAACTTTCAGTCCATCCTGGTAAGGATGAATTAGTTGGATGAATTAACGCTTTTTCATTACTTGATGATGGGAATGTTGTACTTCCTGTCCCAATAATATTTGTAGACGATGCATTGTCATAATGACCCATTGTTGTTCCTGATAGAAAACGATTGTTGATCAGTGGATCCGGTATAGACAACAGCAGCAATAATCGATTATATGGCTCAGGAGGTTCCCATTCTATACATTTTTGTAGACGTTTGAGCATGTTACCGGGTAGCTACAAGTATTGCAACAAGAAATAATAAAAAAGATTTATCATGTTAGTTGCTTTCTACTTTGAGTTCCAGTTGCATGTTATAAATTTCCAAAGGACCAAAAACTAAAGTATTAAAAAGCATATACACTGCATTAGACCAGAATATTTTATTAGATTTGTTACAGTATTATTTCCTGACCATCTTATATATGTATGAAACACAGATATTGAAAGTTAATTGGTACTTTACAAAATATCACTCTAATTGAGTTTATGAAGTACGAGTTCTAACGTTGTGGTTAGGTGCATTTGAATACAAGAGACCCAGACTTCTATCTGTCTTTTAATTTCACACGTCATTACATCAATTTATATCTGCATGACTTTATATAAAACCGCAAGTCATGTAAACTGGCTGATTTCAACCCGTCAGTCAAGAAGCATTGAAACTTCCTAGAATAGTTAAAATCCCTAATTCAGGTTTGATTACGGGCTGACATCAGTTATAGAACCATTGGAAATGATCTACCAGCTCGCCTTGTAACCGGTCCTGGGTTTGAACATCGGTGGGTGGGTACTTCTGGAGAGTCCCAGACGGGGACGAAACAGCTGTTCAGTACTCCATGCTTTTCCAGTGATTCTCTAACTGATGTCAGCCAGTGACTAAACCTGTAACCAATCAAATCCCTGCAAATCAACACTTGGAAATATCTATTTCAGCGTAAATTATGTCACTTTATTTTATTATCATTTTGCTTTATTCCTTCGCTTTCCCAGTGGAACCTAGGGCTTCAGGCTTGAGCTTTGAAGTTTTGGTAGCAGTGGTGTTTTTTTTAACGGCGTGGGGTTGCTAGCCTCACACCCAACTTTCCCTCTTTACTGGCCTTGGTATCAGCTTATTGAGGTTTTAAGAGTGCATCAGACGCGGATCGAACCGGGGACCACATGCATGGTTGGAGAACTGAACCACCAACGCTTAAAAGTAGGCTAACACCTCACCTCCGATGGGACTTGAACCAGAAGTCCGACGCGCTATCCACTGCGTGACGGGGACCGTTAGTTATGTTACTACTAGTCCTATAGTCTTTGGTTGTTGATTTCCTAAGACGCTGATTCATACTTTCCAAAATGGTTGAGAGAAACAGCTACATACTTCATTGAGTGGTATTAGTGTCCGTGCTAACAGTCTGTTGATTCGGGTTCACACCTGCTAACACTGTTTTCCCCAAAAGTCAGTGGATCAACATGTGGAACACATGTCTGTGGTAATGGTTTGTGTTATTCTTACATTTTCTACTACTGATACGGACGACAGAACGAGGAATACATGTGTTAGCAGTGGTAAAAAGCAAACAGTTATATAAACGCTGAAATCTGCTTCGTAAAATATCTTCCGTTCTTTCATCGATAGATCTTTACTCTGGATTAGTTAGTAGTGTTATAATGTCTATCTGATATCGGTAGTTTATTTTTTGTTTTTTTCATCCAGACCAAAGATTGTCAATTATTATAGTATATTCTAAGCTATTTTCAGGAGTGTATGTGAAGAATCCGGTCTGACTGATGAATGAGTTCAAGTATCTGTTGCAGATTTTTCAGCACTTTATGGTCTTCAGTTGATGTTTTTCATACTTCTAGGATAAACGCCTATTTATGCACAGATTAAAATATATCGCACTATTATATTACACTGTATTCGTGATATAATTAGGTTTTTGGGTAACTATGATAACTTTTCATTTCAAATGATTTCTAGTTCCACAAATTGATTTGATTAGCCGTAATACGCGGGGGTGGGGTATGCGTTTGAGTAAAAGAAAGTTACATCTTTGAAAGTAAAATATCACTCTGGAAAATGAAGGATAAAGAATGATAGTGGTTAATCTTAATGGACTCATAATTACAGGAGAGAAAAAAAGGATGAAGGAAATGGTTGTTGATACCTGTCTATGCCTTCCGTGAAGAAGAGGTATCCATAAGGTAAACAGCTGTAAGAATAAGAAAAAAAGAGGATGATAAAACTTATTACTTAGATTAGGGTATTCTTTAATCATTTTAGTTTCACAGTTAATTTTAAAAATGAAATTTATAAAAATTCACTAAATTCTATAAATGAATACATAAACAGGTATTTTTTAATCATTGCTCCCTTGGGTTCCTAATGGAACATAGGGCTTCAACTGCACGTCTCCATTTTCTTCTGTCTTCTGCTATACTTTTCGCCCGCATCCATGTTAGTCCATACTCTTTCAACTCCTCTTCACACGATCTCCTCCATGTCACCCTTGCACTGACGTCCCACGCGCCGCTTCCCTTTCGGCCTGGTTCCACTGGAGCAATGGCCTGACGCGCGCGCGATGTCACCCAGCGGTCTCCTCAGCGAGTGTCCATATCCAACCATCTCCCCTTTCCAAAGCATATTTGTTGGTTGGCGATTGGTTCTTGTTTTGTTTGCTTGTGCGCATAGTTTCTTGTTGGTGATTCTTTCCAGCCCGGCCATCTGATCTTCAATACAGAGCCATAGAAGACAGTTGCTGGTTGATGAAGGTCTGCAACAGGCTATTGGAAATATTCTTTGTGACCCACCCGCCAAGTTTCTGATCCGTATAGAAGAACTGACTGACTTGACGTTGTTTGTATTGAAAATCCGACTGGATTTTGTTGTTGATTCTGGCTGAGTGACGAAGATTTCCAGATTGGTTTCAGGTTGATGAATGTGCTTCTCGCCTTCCCGATTCTCACTCTATTTGACATCCTCGTCCGTTGCGACTGCCTGTAGTTGAGACAATGCTCCCTAGATAAGTGAATGAATGAAGTAACCTCTTTCAAATCCCTCCCGTTGATGGTGATTGGCGCTGGATGTTGGTGCTGTTGTTGTTGTTGTTGGTTGGTTATTTTCATCACCTCCGTCTTGTCTATGTTCACTCGGAGTCCTGTCTTTGCTGCTTCCGGTATGGTAATACTAATTCATCAAGCAAGTTAATTCTTTGTACTTAGTCTATTTACAAGTATTCCTGCAATCAATCTTACTTCACCTGCTCTATTAATTCTAACTAATGTAGATAAAATTAGCAAGAATGATAAATATTACCAGTCAATACTTAACGTCAGGAAAGGTATATTGTTTAAGAAAAGGACGTGGTTATAATAAAAATATGTCTTTGTATGTCTAGTATACACTAGAATCAAATTCAAATGTGTATAAAGCTTGCGTTAAATAATATGGTAGAATTGTGACTTCTTAAGTTATTCTTTCACTTTCCACCCTTTCGCAGTCTAAGTTGACTTAATCACAGTGTTTTTTGACAGATTTCTCTTAGTCCATTATGTATTTTCTATGCAAGCAGTAAGTTAAAGTACCGTTGTAACGACAGAAGACAAGGGCCAGGCAACAGATCGCTTATTGAGGAAATCAAGAGACATTCATATATTTTTATATACATTATTATTTGTTATTATTGGCAGAGAAACAGCGTCTTCCGACTGGTTGTTTTTTCGCTGAAAGTTAATCTGCCATCTCTTTGTGGCCATTTCTTTGAAGGTTAGACCATATATCTGCGAATCATATCCGCCCGCACCAAGTCTGCTGCGACTGTTTGTAGAGTTCCTCAACGTTAGTCTTTGTTCTTGTCTTTCCATGACCAAGATTTGGGAAGTAAACTGCTGTCTACAAATTTTGGCCAGTAGACAGCTCTCACCTCACCATAACCACTGCATCTGATTCGGTTTAAGCGTTGTTTACGTAGTTTTTTTAAAAAAAACAGTCGACTCATTATACACGTATTGGATATACACAATTCCATTAAGATATTTAAATACATACAGTACGTAAAACCTATATCCTATGAAACCTGCCTTTCTACGCTAAGAATGTGCTGCAACCACACGTATCCGATCATCATTGTCTACTTAGAATTGTTTGCATCTGATTTCATCATCGTGTAAGTAATTCTGTGGTCCGGCAGCGTGTTTGGACTCGGTAGATGTCGCCATTTGTTGAGTGCAGTCATCTTGAAATACCGGCTTCAGTGGCTTAGCCATGTGCCACGGATATCATCCCAGAGGCTTCCGTACCAGTCGCTGTCCACTAGCCCTTGGTGGAAAAAAGCAGAGATGATCAGCCTAAGACATGGTGCCGTGGAATGAAGGGTATTTGTGTTAAGTTGGTATCAGTTGCTACATCCACGACTCCTTGTTTCGAATTGGTGACTTCAGACATTATCAGATTCAGCCAAGAATCTCAATCATAGGCTCACATGCTTCGGTTTACTTCTTTCTTCCCTTTATGACGGTAACACAAGGTGATGAATGTGAAATAATCATGAACAAGTATACTTGCTTCCTTTCTGGATGACCTCCCTAACTTACTTTATTCTTATTTTCTTTATATAATTCTGTTTTATTACTTTTATGTAGTGCATCTCTTGTTGTCCTTAATGTACCAAGTTTGTATTTTTAATAATAATAATAATTAATAACCACTTGAGAATTACCTTTGAAACTAAAGATGATTGACATTCAATAAGCTCTTCAATCACAGTTAACAGGCGACCGCTAACAATTACAAACTATAAGAATAAAGAAAAAAAAGGAAAATTCAAAGAGTTTCATGTGTATAAAAAGAAGAAAATGTTTAAACTATGTGCATTTTCCTGGTTAAAGTTAGCAATATTTTTAATTGAAAGTTCTCATGTTAATTTATATTGGTGATTGCTAAGTAGTCAAGCGTATACTTACAGTTTATAATCATGAGAATCAATGATTGTCAGTAATACTATGAAGTTTCAGATGTGCTTTGAGATTAATAAGAGAAAGATATCTGTCAGTAAATTCTTAAACTTGTCCTAAAATCCCATAGAAACATCCTTTATAGATGATCATGTTTGATCTAGATTGTCTTCAATAGACACAGGGGAGTGTTATTAAAAGGTGTAATTGATTTAAAGTTTTTTTAAGTGTTGGTTTGTAGGGATTTGGTTGGTTTCAGGATTTCATCATGAGCTGAAATTAGTTAGAGAACCATTGGAAAACCCGACTTGCTACACCCTACTGGTCACGACGGGTGCAGCGGGTCGGGTGTGAGGACAAATACTCGCCTAAGACATTGGCTAGCAGTCGCGCTATGTCGTGAATTGAGAGAAGTTAAAATTCAAGGACCACCGGGTCGGGTCCCGGTGGCTTAATGGTATACGAGCTCGCCTTGCAATCGGGAGGTCTTGGGTTCGAATCCCGATGGGTGCGTATTACTGAAGAGTCCCAAACTAGGACGGAACAGCTGTTCAGTACTCCCAGGTTTTCCAATGGTTCTCTAACTAATGTCAGGTCATGATGAAATCCTGATTTAAAGTTTATTTCTACAAGTGCCAACTGTATATTTGAGTCCAGTTCAATGAAGAAAGCGTGTAACAGAATTTATGCCGTGAACAGTCATGCCATTTTGTTATTTAGCTAGCACTAAGTTATCAGAAGACAAAAGAACAACTGTATAAAATAACCAGGATTATATGAGATAGATTAGTGTCTTTGAAGGTTGGATGATGCTGTTTCTAGGTGAGAGTATGACAGTCATTACACTATGATAGAGACATTGGATGAAAGTTACTACCAAAAATTAAGGATATTTTATTGTGATCTTAAAGTGTGTATAAAGATAATCTCGCGCCAACGATTTTGAACAGTGGCTGTATCACCTCATAAATTGGGAGGAATTATAAAAGGCAGATTATTGCGTTTTAGTTCACTGACTAACTGAATGAATCCCGCCGTTTGTTTGTTATACCTGCCTCTGCTGATTGTTATCACGGTAATGAACTCGACTGGTACGTTAATATGCCCTGTTTGTCCAGTGTACCTTCCGATTTACTGAGCCACGCAGATACCAAAAAACTAGCCTGTGACTGTAAGATGCTGTACTGTACATTTATTAGGAGAACGACATATGATGTTTATACATTTTCTTTGCAACAATAAAGTTGGCTCATAGCTGTGAGAAATTATTCATGTACTATTTTATGCGGGATCCTATCAGTTTACTACTTCCGTATTTTTGAGGTTGTGGATGTACATTGCCAACGCATCTTAAAGTAAAACTGAAAATCTCAGGATTTGGCTGTTGCTGATATGTGGTTGAAACTGTTATGAAACAACTTGTAAATTTGAAGAGTTCATTTGTGTAATCCACGACTGAAAATAATGACTGTATTCATGTTGAGATAGATCAGTTTGATTCTACACCTTAATTTATGCCTCAAAAGATTCATAGTACTTATTGTTTGAAGATGTTTATTAGGAATAGCCTTCAAGACTTATTTTGAATTAATTACTTACAGTTTAACAAAAACCTCAGTAATTTGAATAAATAAATAAATATAATTCATGAAAATATTTGTTTAAGAAAGTATTAGCTCACATCTTCAGAAATAGATAATATGCGTAAAACAGTTGGCATTATTCTTATCCAAAAATCAAATGCTGTAGCCATAGCAGCTTTATGTTGATTTGAATTCACTGGTGACAGACTGGCAACTGTTTCACAATAAATAGTCCATACCTAAAAATGTATTTTTACAGAGAAAAGTAGAAAAAATTTCTGTAAACGAATTCAAGTTTACATATGTTGAATAAAATATTCTCTTTCTATAGTTTGGTTTGTAAGGATTAGTTATGTTTTACGAGTTGATCACGGATTGATATCAGTTAGAGAACCATTGAAAACCAGGGAGTACTGGACAGCTGCTGTTTCATCCTAGTTTGGGAATCATCGGCAGTACGCACCCACTGGGTTCGAAACAGCAGCTGTCCAGTACTCCCTGGTTTTCAATGGTTCTCTAACTGATATCAATCCGTGATCAACTCGTAAAATATTCTCTAGTGACTACTCACATATTACTGTTTATTAATAAGTAGCATAGTTTGTAAAAAAAATAACCTGATGTTACATGATGATTTTCAATACATCATTAATTTATAGTGTTAATTTGTACCAAATTTTTAAAACAGAATTGCAGTACACACCATTAGTGTCAAACTTTTGTCTTACAGGAAGTAACAAGCAAAGTGACTTGCATGATTATATATATATATAATCATGCACTGCGAAGCGTTCATAGCCTTTCATTTTGAAATTACCCATAAAGATGATCCCCAGTAAGTTAGGCTTTAATTATTACAGAGATTCTCAAAAACCGGTTACATTTGCGTTTTTGTCGGAATCTGCACTAATTTCAATGTCGATTTCGTCACGAACCAACATCAGTTCGCGATCATTGAAAACCAAGGGGCACTGAAGAGAGCTGCTTTATCCCAGTTTGAGATTGTGCTGGAGCTTTCAATTGCCTTTAACTCACGCTGGTTCATGACAAAATCTACACTGAAAGTTTACTTATCTATTTGTCGTTCAACAATATTAAGAGTATTTTGTAAATATTTCTATTCAGCTTCCTCTTATATCTCTTATTGCAGCACTGATATCCTCTGTTTTTAAGTTAACTAATTAAGTTAGGTTCCATTAAATAAGAAGCATTTAACTATTAGATAGAGATAATGTTCTTGAATTTCAGTGATAGCAAGTCATTAAAAATTTGATTTTTGTCTCTGAATAGTTAAGCAATCAGAGTCATACATACCATTTCATAAAAGATATATGATTACTATAAGACTATAAGACTACTCTAATGGATTTGTGTTTCCTGGTAATAGCACGTAGAAGCTAACTATAATGCATTTTATTATACTAATAATACGCTTAGTTCAAAAGATTTTGTGATATCTACTAGTTGTTAACAATTATATAATCTGCGCGAACTCTGCTACGTCGTAAAGACTTCCCATAGGATTTGGGATATTGGTTTCCCTCAATGCATTCAAGAATGAAGTCCAAAGAAATTCTCGCTTCACTGAGCCTTGAGCTGTACTTTAGATACTCATTGAGTATCTTTAACGCAAAATTTTGCTCGAAAGATTTCAATATAGAAAAAATTCCCGTTCTATATTGAAATCTTCCGAGCAAAAATTTGCTTTAAAGGTACTCAATGTGTATCTAAAGTACAGCTCAAGGCTCAGTGAAGCGAGAATTTCTTTGGACTTCATTCTTGAATGCATTGAGGAAAACCAATATCCCAAATCCTATTGGAAGTCTTTACGATGTATCAGAGTTCGCCCAAATAGTAGGACACTCAAATTTGAACAGCCACTTTCCCTACCGTGGCCATCGTCACAAGAATTATATAATCAACGTCTGATAAGGATTGTACAACATCAGTGCCCGAAATGTTGCTCTGGTATAAGTTAAAAGCCGATGTGAGCTGATGAACTCTCTTCAAGAAGCTGAAGTGAATTTATTGGAAAGAATATTATATATTCACACTTGTCTTTAACAAGAATTGATAGTAAAGACAATAGTTATTTACATAATAATTATGATTCTATATAACCAATGCAGCAACAATTAATTCTGTATAAATGACTTATTATTTCATTGGGCAACATTATTACACTTAAGATTCCATTAATCTTGCCAATCAATTGAAAATAATAAAAACTAAGTAAAATTTATTGAAGTTTCAGTAGTGAATAGGTTGATTATCCGAGCTAGGGTCGCTGGCTCGACCCCCCTCTTTTTCTGAGCTTAGGACCAGTTAGAAGGGTGAAAATTGAAGGAAGTCTTTGCTTTCAGCTGCAGGCTGAATGGATGAGGATGCAAAACACGGATATGATAGGCACGACAGATATTCATTAGTTTGAAATCAGTGTGGAAATCTGATGCGCTTAGCATAAGGAAAAAGATTCTGATTTTCAGCACTGATGTCAAGTATTGCTTTGATATGGTTCAGAGACTTGGCGTGTTACCAAAAGCATTTCCAACAGGCTTCAGACTTTCACCAGTAGCTGCTTTCTCTGGATAATGATGGTCATAAAGGATAAGCAACAAAAAACTCTGGTAACGAACCAACAAGAATCTGTTACTCCAGAAATATGCCGAAGAAATTGAGGATGGGTCGGATAGACGCTAGGGAGACCTTTGGGTGACATTGAGCGCCGGGCCGTCCAGTCGAACTCGAATGGGAAACGACGAGTGGGGAGTCCATGGATGGGAGAAGAGAAGAGTTTATGGTCAATCATGGGGCGAGCTAAAGAGGAGTGTACAGAGCAGGATGAAATAGAGATGTTCTTTTGAGGCCTTATATTCCATTCAGAACCTGAGGGAATGGTAGTTATAGTAATAACAAAATTTGCTGAGATTATGCTGCACCCACGTTGACATATCAAATTTCAGTGTGGATGCTTCGGCGATGTTCCTAATGCTTCATTTGTACGTCTTAAACCTTACATACTTATAAAGTTTCCATTCCTAATGGTTCTTTACTCCAACTCTAATTTCAATGAAATGAATTAGACCTTGCAGAAATCCTATTCCATTCATTTCATAACAATAGACAAGTCATTAATATTTAATTTATTTACCGATTAAATAACTTTCATAAAGTGCTTTGAATATTTGATAGCAGTAAACCTATCGTAAAATTACACTGAAAAATTAAACATCATCTCCTGAGTGGAGTAGAAGCAAAATCGAAACTAAGTCCTGTTTTATAAAAAAACTGATGGGGAACATTTCTATGGAATAAATTTCAGCCCGGTAATATCAAATAATCCAGAGTGATCTTCTTATCTCAGTCCACTTGTTGTAACCATTTCCACCTTTTATTTATACATAATAATTTCCTTCGTTAATTATCACCCCATTGACATTTTGACACTGACTAATTATTGTTAACAAACATATCAGTGCCACTTGATTGGTAAATTGTTGTGTATTGTAATAAAAATGCTATATGTATTAGAGTAGAGCCAGAGATGAGGATCTAATTAAGGATATTTTTGTCCTGGGATATTTTAAACATTAGATTTCTGCTTCTATTTTATTGTAAGTAAATCAAAATAAAGGTGATAATGATAAGGAAAATGCTTACCTGACACAGTAGAAACACATGATACAATGAAGACATCACAGTAACAGATTGCTGAAAACAAAAAAAAAACAACATAAAAAATGGGGTAACTTGCACAAAATGTTGTTAATTCATATTAAGGAGAAATTCAGAATTTCAAGATGAGTAAACTCCAAGGTTGTGCGTCGGTGGCATATCGGTTAGGACGCTCGCCGACCATGCACATGGTCCGGGGTTCGATCCCCGGCCACGGACGCACTCCTTTACCTCTCTAAGCCAGTAATAATGCTGGTAAAGAGGAAAGGTTGGGCATGAGGCTAGCAGCCCCATCCTGTAAAATAAAAAAAAAAACTCTGCTACAGAAACTTCAAGCCACTAGCTTGAAGTCGTATGTTCCACTGGGGAACGTGAAGGGAAAAAACATTCCAAGATTACAGTTTCTCAAAACAAATTAACTCGGTGGTATTTTAATTTAATGACAAATAGAAATGATTGCTGAGATTAGATTTCAAGTTTAAATTGTAAGTACCTTAATTCTTAATACGTATATATTCTTAGTTTGTTTGATTACTTGAGGCCAATGATAACACGAATAACCTGTTGGTAAGGTCTTCAGTGTGATCGTAGATAAATCCCGCTAATAAGCTCCATTATGGATGAGATTTTATTTTGATAAAATCGCACAGCGCTGTACAGTAATATTAATATTCATATTGTCAATTAATTAATATTAATATAGCTAAATAATATTAGTACAGTTAATATTAATATCAGTTAATATTACTGTATAACACTGTGTGATTTATCAAAATAAAATCTTATCCATAATGGAGTTATGCTCTACCACAGCGCCCAAGTTTTATACTTATATCAATAACCCACTAATAAGCGACAACTCAAACGCTTAATATTGTTTGTTTATCACTCTCCGATCAGCATGTCAACAAATCACTACTGACGAACAAATAGTTTCGTAGGGATTTTGATTAATTTCGATATAGATGTCGTCGCGAATCGATATCTCTTAGAGGATCATTCGCTTCTTGATGAGGTCACTGGTAATCACTGCTGAAGAGTTTCAAGCTAGGACGAAACACCTGTTTAGTGCTGATCAGTTTTTAGTATATTAACCGTTGACTTACACTAAACTATTCATTAACTAAAAGTCTTAGAAACTACAACAATTCTATTTTGTTCTAAAATCTGTTAATATTTTTCTTAAAAAACTGTCGAGTGACAGTTTATAAGAAGTAAAGATTAAATTACCTTAAACTCGACAAATTTCTACAATGCCAAAAGTATAGGTCTCATATTCTTAAGCTAACAGTTTTGTTACCCATAAGACGAAACTTGGTCATTTCATACTACTTACCCACTCATAGACTTGATTAAAACAAGTTAATACTATAAAGAATTCAGTAAATTGCAGATTCAAGAGTAGATTTTATCACAAAGACATACTAATTAGCGAATCGTTGGAAACGAAAGGCCGTTGTTCAGCTGCTCTGTTCTGGACTAATTCCATGATGAATCCAATTTGTAGAGGTGTCTAGAACTCAGGGAGAAAGAGATGTCCAGTGTTTTATGGTTTTTATAGTGTTTCCTTGGTTAGTGTCATTTCATGATGAAATTATACTTCATATGAATCGAACACAATAAACCTATCGCTTACAATTAGAGAAAGCTCGGAAATCAATCGCAAGAAGTATTAGTAAGGGGGAAGACTAAAGGAAATAAGACGAAGAATCAGACTTAATCAATAAGGAAAACTGATATCATGCGTTATAAAAAATAAAAATCTATCGGGTAGGAAAATATACACTTGAAATAAATTAGATTATTATACTGACATACGATTCAAAAACGATCAAATATTTTCGAAAATGATGTGACCTAAAGAAAATTAAGTGAATTAAACTAAAAGTCAAGAAACCACTAAAATTCGCAATTTACTTGGTATACGTGTGTAACACTGATTTCACTGCCTTCTGAATGGATACAATTGACAATCAAAAACATCTAATTATCCAAGTGTTGGTTTGTAGGGATTTGATTGGTTTCAGGATTTCATCATGATCTGACATTAGTTAGAGAACCATTGGAAAACATGGGAGTACTGGACACCTGTTTCGTCCTAGTCTGGGATTCTTCAGCAGTACGCACCCACCGCGATTCGAACCCAGGACCTTCCGAGCTCGTATACCGCTAAGCCACTGGGACCCGATCCAATGGTCCTTGAATTCTAACTTCTGTCAATTCACGACATAGCACGACCACTAGCCAATCTCGCTGCCAGAGATACAAGACGACTTATTTTCTTGTGATTTATAAAGGCGTAAAGTGGAGACACAAGTAAGCGTAATATTTAACTGGAGATCAATAAACTATTGAGGACGCTTTTCATTTTTCTTCTGAATTGAATTATTAACTAATCCATGAGGTCACTGACTACTGGTCTGAATGTAGATCGCCTGACTAGGAATCTGGGAATGCTAAGAATCAATGGTTGAAGAATTTTTGTGGAATGAATCTCTCTATCTCTCTCATGGTGGTTATCGAATACTGACTCCTAATTAGAATTTAAAAAGCCTAACCAACCGTCATTGAATTGCTTTCTCCCTTATACCCATGTCTCTTTATTACATTTATTTCCCTCATCCTGTGTGCTTCTTAGAAGTGTGTCAACTTCAGTTGATACATGTTAGGGAATAATATATATGAGATCATAGATCTTATTTCCACTCATTCGCATGGTAAAGGTTTTTCCTGCACTGACTTAAAAACTATATGTTTTGTGCGAGGGCCTGTTCAGCCATCTTTCAAAGTGTGCTAAAAAGTATTTTCACTGTTGCTCAGTTGTTGTGAATCAAATCCTCCAGGCAATCAGCCATATTTGGTCATCACTTTTTCAGATAACATAATAATAGTATTATTATAAAGAGTTGCTTCTTTGTTTTGAATTGTCACCTCACTTTAAAAGCACAAGGTCTTACAACAAACACTTCACTATACATTTTGTTATTATTGTTTCCTTTAATTCCTAGAGGAACATAGGGCTTCAGCCACACGTCTCCATTGTATTCGGTTCTCCACCAAAACTTTCACCTGGCTCCACGTCTGCCAACATGCGCTCATCTGCTCTTCACATGACCTCCTCCATATCACCCTCGCACTGACGACCAACTCGCCGCTTCAAATTCGCGTTCCACTGGAGCGATGGCTTGGGATGTGATGTCACTCACTTGGTGATTTTCTCAGAGTATGGCCAATCTACTTTCATTTCTTCCTGCATATTCGTTGCTCATTCGGTTCCTGGTTGGCTCATTCACAGAGATCCTTGTTGCTAGTCTTTTCTAGCCACCTGATCTTGAGTATTGAGGGAAGACAGCGGTTGATGAAGGTCTGCAGTTTGTTCGTAGTGCCCTTGGTGACGCAACGCCAAGTCTCTGATGCCCATAGTAGCACTGACTTCACATTGGAGTTAATGTATTCTAATTTCGTCTTCTCCCAATTACCAAGCAGGGAAAATCAAAGTAGCTTTTGACACCAACAGAAATTATTCAGAGAACCACTGAAAAACAAGGAGCACCAAACAGTTGCTTTGTTTCAATTTAAAACTCTCCAACAGTGTACATCCATGTCGAGGAACATGCAATTACTCCCGATATCCTAGGTTCGAATCTTATCGCTAATGTTCCTCTACTTATGACAACTCAAGATGGAGTGTAAGCTTTTACCAGAAAAATCACTTCACAGTATTACATGAAACACCTCGGTTAATTTCATATGTAACATTTAGAAAATGCACATAAAATAGGAGTAGTATTTTGCAATTAATAGTGTTCTCTGAGCTGGTTGGTAGTAGTATTTATTTGATAGTAGTATACTGAAAAAGAAAACAATTCAGTATACCAGATTATTAAAATATGTGCTTAACTACATTACTCCAGAAATGTGATACTGTCTACAACGATTAGATATTATCCCTTTTATTCAAATTCAACTTACTTTCTGTTGGTCAGGAAATCCACTTAACAAAGCTTTGACTAAATCTGCTACTGAAACAACTAAGCTGAATGGTATAGGACGACAAGATAAACCGGTCGCTTCACGTGTCAATGCCATATTCATTGTTGCACCGAGTAATAGCCAAGACAATGTACGTACTCTTTCAACCATAATGAGAAAATCTTTTGGTCTTTATAGACATTATAGAAAGAAGAAAAATAAATAAAACCAGTACACATAGAATTAAGATAATGCTTATTGAATAACATAATATAACTCGGAAAGAAAAATATCTACAGAGAACAAAAGTTTTCTCAGTTTTATTGTGGTTTTTCGGATAACCACAAGATGAATTAGACTTAACTCTAATTAGCTGCTTTGCGACTTTGACATATGTAGTCATTTACTAGTTCATAGATGAAGATGAATGATAGAATCCTGTTGTATACACGATGGTCTATCAGTCAAATACATCCTCTTCATCAGATTTAGGAGTACAAAGATTTTAATAGACATAATGTCCCTATATATTCTTGTAACAACAGAAGACAAGCGCCAGGCAACAGATTGTTTATTTTGAAAATCAACACATACTTATAGATTTTCATGTACATTATTATAGATTGTTGTTAGCAGAAAAACACAGTCTTCTGATTGGTTGTTTCTCACAGAAAATTAACCTTGCATCCCTTTGTTACTGTTTCTTGAATATCAGATCATCTATATGTTAACTGTATCCGCCTACGCAAAGCCTTTGTTCTCATTTTTCTCACGACCAATATTGGGGACATAAACATTGACGTAAATTACTGTCCACCAATTTTGGCTAACAGCTAGTCCTCACCACATTCTCACTTTATGACTGTTTTTCTCACTTACATTCCTTCGTTTAATACTGACTGTCCCATTTCACTTGACTAGATATTTTCTAAATTCTTGGTTTTTAGTTAATCTTTTTCACGTATATAACAAATGTGTTGACTTAAACAAGTGGGAATATTTGTGTGAATGTTTGCGCTACATTCACGAGCTCCTTTTATTAAGCAGTAAAAAGTATCAAGTGTGTGATTCTACAATAAACCTAAGTCACACTATTCTGAATTCTTTGTGCTTGAAAGTTGCGGCCAGAAATCTGGTCCCAGCTCCTTGGAAATGCAACTTTTTTCACGAAGAAGCTCGGGTCAAACCGTATGGTAATGCTTTGCAATTATATTATTTCATATATGCAAGGAATTATACAAATTCAGTTCATATCCAACTTTTAGTAGTCATTTAGCTTCAAGAATTTTGTGAAAATATTCTAACAAACACTGGACAAAGCTTATTATTATTTATTTATTTTCCTTTAATTACTAGAGGAACATAGGGCTTCAGCTACGCGTCTTCGTTGCGTTCGGTCCTCCGCGAACGTTTTCACCCCGCTCCAAGTCTGCCCACACGCTTTCATATCCTCTTCACATGACTTCCTCCAAGTCACCCTTGGACGACCAACTCACCGCTACCCTTTCGGGTTCCACTCGACGGCTTGTCCAGTGATATCACTTGATGGTTTCCTCAGCGTATGGCCAATTCATCTTCATTTCTCCCTGTATATTTGTTGCACAATTGATTCCTGCTGGGTTGGTTCGCTCCCAGAGATCCCTCCCTGTTTCTGATCTTTTTTGGCCATCTAATCTTGAGTATTGAGCGAAGACAGATGTTGATGAAGGTCTGTAGTTTGTTCGAAGTGCCTTTTGTGACGCAACAAGTCTCTGATCTGTATAGTAGCACTGACTGACTTCACATTGGAGTTGAAAATCCGGATCTTGTTTTTCATGCTGACTGCTGTTGCTCCCCACACAGATTCGAGAGTAATGGAAGCTTGTCTTACTTTCCCGATCCTCCATTTGATATCCTCATCAGTTCCGTCCGCCTGTAGTTGAGACGATACTTCCCAGGTAGGTTGCTTCTTTTAAATTTCTCCAATTTATGCTGATTGTTGTTGCTGTTGGCCAAGAATCTTCATCACCTCTGTTTTCTGTATGTTCATCTGAAGTCCTATCTTTGATGCTTGTTCTGCCAGCTTGTTGCTTTTCACTTGCATATCTTCCAGTTTGTGGGAAATCAGACATATATCATTGGCGAAGTCCAGATCCTCCAAGTTTTTTGTGAACTATTTGCCTTAAGTTTAAAGGATGAATTCAGGATTATCCATTTAATTTGCAAAAGAATAAAATTTGCTGTAATAATACAAGGGTAGGTATATTTATCGTAGCATATATATATATATATATATATATATATATATATATATTTATTTATATATATGTAAACCACATATTTCCGATGTATATTAATTAAAGTTATAGCATCTTTCTTCCGTGTTTAACTCAAAGACAGCAGTAAATACAGAAATCTATTTAAAACCATTCAAACCAAATTGACATTTAAATAGTTTAATATTGTGTATCCAGAAAGATCAGATTTTAACTTACCCTAATTGAGATGACGGTGGAGTAGACTTTAACCATGGTAAATATTGTAGTATAGGTGCTTCAGCATGACTTGTATGCAAAAGTGGTGGAGCTAACATAACATGTGCATAGGTTGGTTGACGAGGACTGGTCAAATTAGGACTAGGTACTATAGGAGTGGTAGATGTTGTAGGAGATATAGAATTTGGTGAAGTTGAATTTAATGTGCATGCTGAAGCAGTAGAAGAAGAAATTTGATCAGATGAACTTCCCAGTGGTGGATTAGAAAGCGAAGGGGCCAGTAGTTTGGGAGTGCTACTATCTAGTCCTTTGCCTGATGATGCCGAGGCCGATGCTGTTAAACGCGGGTGATCTGTATCACTGGATTTACAAATGGTTGGGGTAACGGCATCTGGTTGGGTAATAATTATAATTGCTGGATCTGGATGAGCGTCACTTTGTTTGGTAATTAGTCCACTGGTCTTACTAGTTTTTACTTGTGTGGTTGTATGCTCGGAACTAGTAATATGTCCACTTTCTGTTAATAAGCTTACATTCTTCCCGGATGTTCCAGCTGTAGCAACATTTGATCCGATTACATTAGTGGATGTCTTTGATCGGGAAGGTAACCCAGGTGCTGCAGTTTTATTAGTTCGTATAGTCTTTATATCAGATAATAATCCAGGCGCAAGCAGAGGCAAGACATCTTGATCGCCTCCGCTGTTAGATCTTGATAATTCCAGTGAGACATACTGAGCTAGGCCTGACTTCAAGTGTGCTCCTAAGACATCTTCATGTAAACTTGGAATACCTGCCCCTAATCCAACGCCAGAGCTAGTTCCCGTAGCCCCAGGTCCAGAATTAGATGCTCCCGAGGGATTAAACGTTCCACCGAAGAGACCAGTACCAGTACCTCCGGAGGCCGCTCCACTATTTCCTAGTGTGTTTGAGTCGTTATTACCACCTCCACATACACCAGAACCAGTCATTGCAGATGAAGAGCCAAGACCACATCCAATGCTGTTCAGTTGAACGGCTGACTTCTGAGATTGTTTAACCTATAAATTAAGAGGATATTATTCAGTTAAACAAACGTACTTTAGGAAATCTGAATGTCATAATCTGACACAAAAAGATACAGTGATAGGTATGAATATAAATGTACAGACAAAAATGGCGAATAATGAGACTATTTTCAAAGAAATAATAGATTTACCAGACAGAAAAATTGCAAAAGATTTGGATAGGAATTTTCTGTTATCTAAAAAGTTTCGCAACATTGAATGTATCACAGTAAACTAAAGTTCTATAGAAGGGAAATGGTGTATTGTATGGTTTCGTTTTCCGTTGTAAAAGAAACATAAGTTACTTCTTTCAAAGCCTGATTAAGATTACAGTAATTACTTAGAACAGAAGTTTTATATATGTGAATAATGAGCTTCTGAGCTTCGCGTAAGAAGTAGTTTGTACAGTCACTGTATCTGTTATGTTTAGGGATAACTTGACTAAATATTAATCGTAATTACGGACAATAATTTCATAACCTCCTTTTTCTACTCGTATGAGATTTGTATCATATACAAATGCAGAAACCTATTTACAGCACTCATATCTTGGTATTAACTAACTTTACGAATTGATCACGGATTGGCATCAGTTAAAGAACCATTGAAAACCAGGGAGTACTGGACAGCTGTTTCATCCTAGTTTGGGAATCATCAACAGTACGCACCTACCGCCATAGTTCGAACCCAGGACCTTCCGGTTACAAGGCAAGCTTGTATACCATTCAGCCACTGGGACCCAATTCAATGGCTTATGAATTCTAACTGGAAGGTCCTGGGTTCGAACCCCAGTTGGTGCGTATTGTTGATTATCCCCAAACTAGGATGAAACAGCCATCCAGTACTCCTTGTCGGTCTTCAATCGTTCTCTAACTGATGTCAATCTGTGATCGACTCGTAAAAAACAAAACTAAGCCTTACAAACCAAGCTATAGAATATTATCTGACTGTAGGATTTTTCAGGCTGCAATCTTATTGGCTCAGAATCCGTTTCTATCTAACGAAGTTTGGGGAACTAAGTATTAATGATCAGTCATTACTCAACAAGTTTGCCTCACTGATAATCTTATGCATATATATGTGGTTATTTAGCTACATTAATTCATTGCAGTGTTTAAAGGTCACTCGGTTTTTAGAACATTTTTCAATATTAGAACTATGGGACACAAGTCTATCGGCTCTAAAACATTCCTATACTTTCTTTTATTCCTTAAGGTGTTTAGTGATTGCTGAATTAAAAGAGAGGAAGGTTTCGGTATGGAAAGCTGAAGGCTTCGACTAAAACCTTTGGTAAAGGGTCAGTGAAATTTTAATAAACAAAGAAAGTAAATCCAAATATGTTGATTCAATCCGATCCAATAGGAAATTAGTCGAAACTTCAGTGACTCAGGGGTAATATATGTGACTCCAGTATCAGGTAATGCAGAGTTGAATATCAGAGATATCATCAATTCTTTCGAGTTCTAACTAGTACTAACAGCCAATAAAAATAGGTGTAGCACCTGTTAACCACTTTCTGTAACCTTATATCATCAATTAAACTAAATTTTGATGCCTAGTTACCTGGGTAGTTAACCAATGTGCAAAGCTGGTCGATAAAATTTAGTCAACAATTAAGGTTAGACAACATGAGATTAGTTAAACTTCAGTGATTAACCATTAAAAACCTAACTTCGCTACTTCATATTGTTATGGAATTTCTGAAATGGCTGATTAATTAATTTCGTATATGACAGTTGACTTTTACTCACCACTTTGGATTTTCATTTAAACTGTTTCCATGTAATCTATTTTCACTGCATGTCTCAGTTATTTCCAGGACAGTTAGAAGAAAGGAGTAAAATGCATCAAAACTTCGGTACCTATCAATCTGGTGAACATATGGCGTCCCACCAACATAATTGAGACTTTAGACATCTCATACAGAGTGCCATCATAGTTATTTAGGTATGTGTGCCATGTGTTACCAGAAGTAGGAAAGACAGTGACTATAAAATGTTTTTAGCTGAGAATTTACAAAAGAAGTATGATTTTATTTCAATTGCTGAATAGTTCATAAAGCTTGGTGATAAATTACCCGGGATAAATAATCGATTCAAATATGTTTCCAAATTACATGTATATATATACACACACACACCTAAAATTGTACTGTTTGCTGTTGAAACATATCTTGACGTTTAAACACTGGCAGCTACACTTTGTTTACCTTATTTATTCCTTTACGTCCCCAGTGAAACGTAGGACTTCAAGCTGCAGGCTCGAAGTTTCAGTAGCATTGCTGTTTATTTTTATGGGATGGGGTTTTTAGCCTCGTGCCCAACCTTCCCTCTTTACCAGTCTCATTAGTGGCTTAGCGAGGTGAAGAAGTGTGTCTGTGGCCGGGGATCGAACCCCGGACCACATGGGTGGTTGACGAGCATTCTACCACTGTGTTACCAACGCACATTTCCTTATCTGCAAATCCTAGGCTTACAATTTAAATTCTCATCTTGAAGCCTAGGCTGTGTTAGATGTGTTAGCATTTATCCAGCTTTCGATTACTTCAAAACGTCAATAGACAGTGGAGCTCTTCAAGATGTGATTTGTCAAGATGCAACCTTAGTTTTTCTATCATCCCCCCTTCAGAGATGACATAACTCCATAATCCCATCTTAGTATATTTAACACTTATAAAGAAACAGCCTGTTGGAAAGAAGAAAAGAAGCCAATGGTAAAATTTTAAAAAGAAAACGACTTACTTTATGCATGGTATGAATATCTGATATAAAGGCCAAACAGTCAGGTAGATGAGGTTTCATTAGTTCAGCTGCACCAGTTGGAAATAGATGATAAGTTTGTGGATTGAAGAGTGTTGTTATGCCTTCTACTACTTGATTCGGTTCTATTGTACCACCAGCATCCATCAAAACAAACTTGAGATAAAAAGGGAAATCAGAAACGAAGACTTTATCAATACGTATATGATATCAAACTTTATAAATATGATTTTTTGATTGATAAGGTATTTTACAATTCTCTGGAAATGAAATTACTAAAAGAAACAATAAGTAACGCGGTGGTTCGTACTGCTGAAGAGTCCCAAACTAGGACGATACAGCTGTCCAGTACTCCCGGGTTTTCCAGTGGTTCTATAACCAATGTCAGTTCATGATGAAATCCTGTAACCAATAAGTAACGCATCTACGTGTAAGTAAATTAGTTTACTTAGAATTAAATAATATTTATTGTTCAGTGTACAGTAATGTTATTTATATTTCTGTACTTGTGAAGAGTTATATTTGTCTTTGGTAGGTTTACTCAAATATTTCTATATGTTCATTTGGCAAGCACTAAGTCTGAACAGACATTTTTTAAATCAAACTACAACAAGAAATCTGTCCAGTGGTCCTTCGGTTTAAAATGACCCTGTAAATGATATCGATTCCATACGAAATCGATCTTGAAAATTCATGTTTTGTATAATTTCCAAGTTAATAAGCAGAATGGAGAGGACTATTAGCCGTATTTACTGTTTCCCTGTTATGGATGAACTGGAAGTGATAATATTGTAAAGGTAGAAGACAAGTGACTTGGTAAAGAAATGATTATTCGGAATTCGGTATCTCTATATAGCGAGATTATGTACACCTTATTTCTCCAAATCGTCATTTGCCCAGATCTTCCGTGTTATGCCACTTCAGCCCTTTGTATTGTGTTTCTTCGTCTCTTTTCCATGTCTCCCTCTCATTTTTTTGTCACAACGCTGAATCATTTGCTCTCTTTGACGTCAAATCTATCTCTCCTCTATTTGATATTTTTATCCTGATGAATGTCTCATTATATACTACCGACAAACCTTATCAGTAGCACACGCCATACAATGGCTTAAAAGGATGGTACAAGTCAGTGAGATTATGCCATCATTATTGGATTTCAACTTCTGACTAAAAGTCTAATATTGAAGATTATTATTATTATATCCTTTAATTCCTAGAGGAACATAGGGCTTCAGCTGCAAGTCTCTATTGCCTTCGGTTTTCTGACAACTTTTTCACCCAGCTCCAAGTCTGCCCACATGCTTTCATTTCCTCTTCCTTCACATGACCTCCTCCAACACTAGGCAACTCTTTAGACTCATCACAGAATCGGGCGGGAGAAGGCAATTCATAAGTGAGACTATTTCTGAGAAAAATGGCTCCTTAATTAGCTCTCAGGATAGACGCCTTGAACGCTGGAAAGAACACTTTGAGGAACAATTTAACTTGCCTACAGCCACACTGAACCTCCCCGCCATCCACCACGTACCCGAATGGGATATAGACACTGGTCCGCCGTCTGTAGGTGAGGTTACAAAAGCTATCAGTAATTTGAAACGAGGCAAAGCGGCAGGACCCGACGGAATTATTCCGGAGGTGTTTAAATATGGGGGTGACATACTAGTTTGTAGATTAACTGAGGTACTAGGCAAAGTCTGGGAATCAGAGACAGTACCATCAGACTGGGGTAAGTCACTTATTATACCGATATTCAAGAAGGGAAACAAGTCCTCGTGTGATAATCATAGGGGGATCAGCCTAACGAACATAGTCTCTAAAATCCTAGGCTCAGTAATCATGCATAGACTAAGCAGAACTCGGGAGGAACAGACAAGGGAAAATCAAGCAGGCTTTAGACCAGGTAGAGGGTGCATAGATCATATCTTCACTCTTCGACAGATTCTAGAACATAGACACACTTTTCGGCGTCCAACAATTGTCATATTTCTTGACTTGAAGGCGGCCTTCGACTCCGTGGACCGAAAGGTACTATGGCAATGTCTGACTGTGAAGGGAGTGCCAAGAAAGTACATTGCACTAATCAAGGCACTCTATTCAAACTCACGTAGTCGTGTAAGGGCTTATGGGGAATTGTCATCTGAATTGGTAACAACCAGTGGTGTCCGACAGGGATGTCCACTTTCCCCATTTCTGTTTAACTTCATCATAGATATGCTAATGGAAGTATCCTTAACTGAACGTAGTGACTTAGGAATCGACTTGTTACCAGGGAATAATCTTATGGACTTAGAATATGCAGATGACATAGTCCTGTTAGGGGAGGATGCTGACAAAATGCAGAGTCTTCTGAACACCTTGAGCAGCAATCTTCGTATGTTTGGCATGCGATTCGCCCCTGCAAAATGTAAGATGCTGCTACAGGACTGGACTACGTCAACCCCTAACTTAGTGATAGGGAGTGAAGTGATAGAACATGTTGACCACTTCACCTACTTGGGAAGTTGTATTAGCACCAACGGACTGATTGGCGATGAAATCTCAGCACGGATCCGAAAAGCTCGAGCTGCTTTCGCTGACTTACACCATCTCTGGCGTAGGCGTGACATCCGGTTATCAACCAAGGGACGTGTGTACTGCTCATCAGTTCGCTCCGTCCTTCTCTATGGCTCTGAAACATGGCCAATACGCGTTGAAGACATGAAAAGGTTGACTGCTTTCGATCATAGATGTCTGCGATCTCTGTCTCACGTTAGGTGGTTTCACAAGATAAGTAATGTTGACGTTAGGCGTAGAGTGTTGGGCAAAGAGGGAAAATCAATCGACGAGGTTATAAAGTTACATAGACTAAGATGGCTAGGTCACGTGCTGCGCATGCCTAACCACCGCCTCCCCCGACGGGCATTGCTAGCTGATATAGGTTCAGGTTGGAAAAGAGCCAGTGGTGGCCAAACAAAAACATGGCATCAATCCATGAAATCCTTGACAGTTAAACTGAGTCAGGTAGGGAGATGCAGACTCCCGGGTTGGGGCCCTCGGGACTCTAGGAATCAATGGCTGGAGACAATAGGTGACATGGCTCAAAATCGTTGTCAATGGCGCAGATGTATTCAATCTCTGTAATCTTTCATATTCCTTTCTACCATTACCCATTCTGTTTCACTCTTATATTTGTCAAACTCTATTAATTCTCTTCACTCATCTTCTTGTCTACCTCTGTGTGCTATTTGGAACGTGGCAACTCGAACTGCTGCACTTCGGTGCCAAGTTCTATGTTGAATCCAGACAGACAGACAGACCTCCTCCAAGTCACCCTTGCACTGAAGACCAACTCGCCGCCCGCTTCCCTTTCGGGTTCCACTCGAGCGAGGGCTTGTCTAGTCATGTCACTTGATGGTTTCCTCAGAGTATGGTCAATCCAATCCACCTCCATTGCTTCCTGCCTAATTGTTTCACAATCGGTTCCTGTTGGGTTGGTTCGCTCATTGCCAGAGATCCCTGTTCCTGAACTTTTCTGGCCGGCTATCTGATCTTGAGTAGTATTGAGCGAAGACAGCTAGCTGTTAATGAAGGTCTGAAGTTTGTTGGAGATGCTCTTTATGACGCGCTGATCAAGTCTCTGATCCATCCGTATAGTAAGTGGCACTGACTGACTTCACATTGGAGTTGAAAATCCTCATCTTATTTTCGTTTTCATGTTGAGTGCTGTTGACCTCCACTCCACACAGACGTAAGAGTAATGAAAGCTTGTTTTGCCTTTCCGATTCTGGCTTTGATATCCTCGTCAGTTCCGTCGGCCTGTAGTTGAAACGATGCTTCCCAGGTAGGTGTGTAGGTAAAGGAGGTTGTTTCTTCCAGGTTCCTCCCATTTATGCTGGGTGATTGTTGTCTGTTGTTGTTGTTGCTGTGGCTTTCGGTGTTGGCCAGGAATCTTCATCACCTCTGTTTTATCTATGTTCACCTGAATGGTGTCCTATCTTCTCTGGATGCTTGTTCTGCCAGCTTGTTGCTTTTCACTTGCATATCTTCCAGTTTATGGGAAATCAGACATATATCATCAGCGAAGTCCAGATCCTCCAAGTCTCTTTTTGTGTGAGTCCATTTTATGCCTGTATCCTCGTTTCCCGTTGTCTATCGCATTATCCAATCTACTGCGATCAGGAGGATCATTGGCGATAGTAGGCAGCCTTGCCTTGAAGAATAATCATAAAATATCTAAATTGTCCCACAAACTATTTGTCAGCGAACCAATTTAATATCTGTGATTTTGTTGAATAAAACCCAGTGAACCAGTATTATAAGAAGTCATTGAATTAAGTGACATAATATCACCGACACAACTAAGTAGAGTTCAGCTAAAACTTTTATATGATAGTGGTACTCCAAACTCCATCAAAGTGATGAGCATGAAACGTTTTTTATCTAAGCCTTTGGTATAAATACTAGTCATTCGGTACCAGAATTTATTCACTACGTCAACTTTTTTGAGACAAGGATATGGACAAACTTCATGAGTGCTATTAATAATCTGTTTATATGAGATTTTATTGAACTCTTTATAGCAGAGTACCTATGAGTCTTTTTTTTTACCTCAACTTAATTTCTCTAAGATTTTGATTTCTACATACAGTTTTAACTTTCGGTTCAATACTTTCTCTATACTTTAAGTGAAGTATTCCTTACATTTGCCTTCTAATTGGAATATAGGACTTCAAGCTTGGAGTTTTAGTAACGATGGAGTTGTTTTGTTAGTCTCATGCACAAAGCAAAGCACAGTACAGCAATGTGGAGAAGTATTCAGCTTGGTACCAATATAAACCATCCTTTTTAAAAAGTTTAAACTGAAAATCTACAAAACACTTAATATATGATGCATTTCTGTACAGAAAGTATTAGTTAGCCCACTTAGATGATAAGCTTTCAAAAGTTTGGGCATCTTAAATAGATTGGAGCTGAAATCTAGAAGTCAGTAATATTTCTACGCGAAATGACTTCTGCATAGAGCACATCATTTACAATTTGCATAGTTCGATCCTTTGGTAATTAAGGATATTCAGGTGACAATATATGATCTGACTGATAGCATAAAAGGTTATTGAGAAGGTAGGCAATACAAAATGATGAAGTATACTATCAGTAAACAATACAAATGATATATATATATATATATGTATATATATATATAACTGATTATGTGGAAATTACAGTTCAAGGGTATATCAGAGACATTTTAACAGAAGCAGCAGTGTAACTAGCAATAAATTTGTGATTATTAGATATTTAAGTGTTGGGTTGTAGGGATTTGATTGGTTTACAGGATTTCATCATGAGCTGACATTAGTTAGAGAAGTATTGGAAAACCTGGGAGTACTGGACAGCTGTTTCGTCCCAGTTTGGGACTCTCCATCAGTACGCACTCATTTAGTTTTAAAAGGCGAAAAGTTCTATTCGCTCTGAGTTTCATGGTTATGACCATTAGTCAACAACGTGTATTTGCTATATTAAGAAGAATCATGTTTACCCAGAGACAAATTTGTGTCACTCAGTGAGATTCTTTTTCAGAAAACTGCACTATCTGACAATCATTTAAGAAAACCATATTGTTTAACTTAATACAATTCAACTGTGAAGGACCACAGATATTAAACGATAACATATAATTGAAGAAGGGATATAATGGGGATATGATATAATAAGAAAACCGATATTATTGATGATTACATTTTGATACAGAAGTAGTATCTGATGCATACTGTTGTATTTATTCAGTCTACTCTAGTAATATCACACTCACTTGAAGTAGTTTTATCAAGTTTTCATCCGGTATGCAAGCACGAAATTTAATTGACTGATGAAATATGTCAACCAGTGTTCTAGTCAACTGAGCTTTTGTACGATCCTGTCAAATAAGAAATTAAAAATAATAAAATATACTGAAATTGGAAAACAGAAAAACTGAAGTATTAATATCTTGACTGAACGGTAGCTACCTGGTTTTATAATCCACCAGTTCTTGGTTTGATTCTTGGTAGAGTTATGAATGCATACTTCTAAAAAGTCCTAAATCAGAGTGAAACAGCTTTCCATGTTTGTCTAACCATCTTTGTCCGAGATAGTATGCAACATAGATTTCGAGACGCTGCACAAATGATAGGTATCACATTATTTTCACATAGTAAATCAGTCACTTTCGTATTTCGATAAAGAAATTAAGACGAAATTTGCAGTATAAAATGATATCATTCTATTTCACAGGTTCTCATCAGCTGCAGACTACCTGAAATTACAATGTTTACATAGATGATAATAACATACTTTAACGTTTAAGTGGTAGTAGAGAAGAGATACTATAAAATTGACGCATCCAATATGTAAGCATTACAATGTGTTTAGTTTAAGTTTTCATCATCAATTTATACGCTTTCAAAGTAGAAGAGACGGGGGGGGGTGAAGGAGTGAGACAGAAAACGGAAAAATTGATTAACAGAACAGCGTTAGCTTGTAGGTTCACATAGCAACTCAAAAAACAAAAGTGGTTACAGTTTATGAGACTAAGATTTGTTCAGTGAGTTGAGATCACTGAATTAAATGACTAATTAATGTAATCAAAATCAATATTCAATTACCAAGGGAGTGAGAGGTTAATCACACTCTCTTTCTGTATGCATAAGTCTGGTTTAAGTCGTTTGATTGCGATTGCTTCGGCAAATCGTAGTAAATTTGCTGTCCTTTGTCTGAGTCCTTCAAAATATTAAATAGAATAGTATACAGTACAGTTATAAAAAGCTTATTTCTGCTCACCTTTAAAACTCGATTACTCAATGAACATAGTTCTATGACACTAGTCAAACGAAAGTGTACATTTTCTACAATTACCCGGAGTAAATTCGAAAATGTATCTGGAAGTGTCTGGATAAAAACGATAAAGAGAAAAATAATTTAGTACAATGTGTGAAGTTCTATGCATGTATTATTGATTAATCATCTGACTTTATCATGACACAATATGAAGAAATATAGATACAGGAGAAAGCAATAAGTCGAACCACTATCAGCGTGTATAAACTTCTGAATCATTTTCTGTAAGTGAGAAGGTGCACGCGTTGTATAGAATAAATCACTAGTTCCTGACTACATGGTCACATGGTGTTGAGCTCTACATACCAGACGTGGGTTAAATGCCTCAGTGAATTGTATGTGTACACTACTGTAGGAGGTCTAGAGAAAGAAGGCTTATAAAACACCACATCACTTAAATAACAATATAAATACAAACTGAAAACGGTCCCTTGTTACCCATATGTCTATTATCGTGATCCGTTACAGCTAGCTACGGATACTAGATGATTATCCCCATAGGTTTCAATATACTCTGGAGATCATTCGAAGAGTTATTAGGTAGAAGCGAAAATTCATGTCTTAAGATTTGGTCATTTTGTTGGCTATAATATCATGCAACTAGATTACTGCTATCTCTGGAAATAATATACTTCCTTTCTGATTATTAAAATTTAAATAAAATAAAATTCTTCCTTCGGTGGTTTTCATCAGGAACATTGATGTTATACCAAGCACAAAATCAGCTAAATAAAATCTAACTTAGATACTTTCACCTAAGCAATTAATTTTTGATTCGGAGACTTACAATAGTATTTATTGAAAAACGTCGATCACAGGTCGACTCACTTTCAAACCTCGCTTAGCTGGTAATAAGCTTGGCAAAGAGGGAAGGTTTGGTGTGAGTCTAGCAATCCCACCTCGTAAAAATAAAACCACTGCTACCGAAACTTCAAAGCTCTAGCTTGTAGCCCTATGTTCCATTTGGTATGCAAAGGTATAAAAAAAAGTACGGATGCAGCAGTATTGCAAAGTTAAAGGACCATAACCTTTCCAAAGTGGAATTTGATCGATATAATAACGGGTAAAATGTCAGTCCGTCATTATCACACATAAAGATATTTTTTTCGTTCCTTCAAGTTCCCAGTGGAACATAGGGCTTTAAGCTAGATGCTTCAAGTTTCGGTAGCATTGGTGTTTATTTTTACGGGATGCGGTTACTAGCCTTACGCCCAAACTTTTCTCTTTACCGGCTTTATTTATTACTGGCTCAGCGAGGGATACGAGTGCATCAGCTGGAGATCGAAACCCGGACCACATGCTAATTTTGCGAACATTCTACCTCTGTGCCACCGACGCAGTTGTAGATATAGTTAGCTTTAATAATTGGAGATCCGATACTACGTTATATCTTCGACAAAGTAACTTGAAAATCCAACTTCTCATTACAAGCGAAACACCATTGACTGAAGACATGCGAAACGCAGTTACTGTTACGACTCCGAAATTATTGATTATTGGAGAAACACTTTAATAAGCAGAAGGACTGACAAAACAATAAATCACTATACTGTTAAAATAAAAACAAAAATGATTCTCTAATATCCACTCATGATTTACCTTGAAATTGGATGCGATCGGTGAACGCAGCACACAAGTCATAATACGTACAGTAGTTGCCAGATTATTTGGTATCGGTGTGACTGTGGGTAATTTTCTCATGAATAAGTCTAATGGCCCAATTATATCAGTCCATCCAGAGGCTATAAAATGATTCATTTTAGCATCATCAGTTAAATTAGGCAAGTTTTCTAAATAATTGGCAAGATTTTCTAATAGAACAGGCAAGGTATCAACATTTATTGACTTTTGTTTATTTAATGATTCCAGAAGTAAATTGATGGGTTGAAAGAATGACATATGATCTTCAAAATCAACCAGCACTGCTATAATCGCCTTGAAGAAATTTTCATCTATAGAGAGGAGATGAAAAATCAAAACAAAAAAATGTGACTTTAGAGGCAAACTGTATGCGAATGAGTGGAAACAGGTGAAAAGTTGTCAAGTTGATTGTACACATAAAACAATTTTATGAGCTTATCATAATATGTTTTAAAAAATTCTGATGTTATATTCACTCACCAGGTATATGAGTTTGGAATAATTGAGTGAACAGACCATTTGGTGCTAGATTATACATTGTGCAACGAAGAAATTGACGAGCGATGCTAGACACATTCCCAGGACTAATCACATGTGAACTAGATAGATGAAAATAATGAGTGTTATATGCGTATGAGGTAGAGAAATTACGAAAGACTAAAAGTGAGACTCAAAACTTCACATTTATTTTAAAATGTAAAACATTTTATGACATTAGGCAATATAGGTAGGTTTTTTAATTGAATTTTAATGTGAAACAAATCTAAATTAGAAAATTTGTCAGCTTATAATAAACCCTCATTTTCATGATAAACATAGTAAATTTTTCTGGTGATTGATGGGCTATCTGATAACCCTAAATACAGCGTATTTTAACCCCAAAAAGAAGCTCTGTTTTTTATGTAATTGTGTTCTCTTAGCTGGATGGTTTACTGGCGAAGCTTTCATCGCCCTACTAGGCAACATATTCAGCGCATACTTCAATTTGAAATGAGCTTTTAGATTTCTCCACGAGTTTATTAGTCATCTCTCCTGGTGACCTGGGGCGTGATTGGTTGCTTTTGTATGTTTTCACACCCTCTAGACTACTTGTATTGGTACTGATTGTTTCCTTGACTTGAACTTTGACCCTTTGTGTATGAGATTTCCTTCTTATGCATTAGTAAATTTTTTCTATGTCAATGAGTCTACAGATTGACGATTCACTGGAATACTAGGCTTCTAAAAATCATCTAGCATTCTTGGTGTTTCTTCTGTCTAATATTTGAACATTGTCCCAGTCGAATTGATGTCCATGGTTGTCTGTGTGCAGCGATATAAAGGAGTGGATGTCATATCTTTTGATAGCCAGTTTATGTTCATGGATATGAAGATGAAGGGGACGTCCACTTTGGCCAGTGCAGGATTTTTCGCAGTCGTCGCAACTTATTTTATAGATGACGTTGGTTTTATTTTCTTTCGCTGTTGAGTCTTTTGGTTGACACAGGGTTGGCTGGCTGAGTGAAGTGATTTTGTTGGTTTGTGTGCGACATCAATTTCCAAAGTTATTCCTAAGATGTTCTTTATATATGGTAGGGCGATTTTCTTTGTGTTTTCCTAAGGGGGCCTCTTTGATTTGGTAGGTTGTCTTGGGGGTAGATGCCCTTTAATGGAGTTCCGTGCATATCCATTCTTTTGAAAGACGTCCATGAGATATCTTTCTTTAATTTTCCTTAAGGTGGGAGTGCTGCAAAGAGTCCTGGCCCTCTTGAATGGTGTTTGTATATAACTCCTTTTGTGTATCATTGGGTTGTTGCTGTTGTAACTGAGTATTTTATCTGCGTGAGTTGATTTTCTATAAACTTGAGTTTTTAAGTTTTTGTGGCTGTTCGCTTGATCAGGACGGCCAAAAATGGGATTTTGTTCTCAGATTCCTCTTCTCTTTTACGAGAGAAGAGTATTGCTGTCAGTAACACTCAGCCACCTTAGGCTTGAGTCTGAGACAAAAGTCAAATGTCGTTGGTTTAAAAGAAAACTGTTTTCATCCAAGTATGTTTATCGCCTTCGGAGGTGCTGCTTCTAGTGAAGCGGGCTCGAAGATAGTGCTTATCCGGAGGTGAAAAGCACCACCAAAGATAACCAAAACTTCTAGAGTAACAAAACGTCTAAATCAACTATACCATTAACTACAGATATCCTCGACTGTTCAAAAGTACAGTTCCAGAGAACTCATTTAAATATTTACTACCTATAGCTACCTTCTTCGTATATTGAAGTCTGAACGTGGTTAGAATCCAAACAGGCTTGCAGGATATTTATTTGCTTACAAGCATGCATATGCAATCAAACGAAATACCAGTTTATTAAACTTACAGTTCGGGTTGCCATGAATAAAAATACGCACTGGCTAAGCGTGCCGTAGTTAACAGCATATCTCTTAAGTATGGAGCTGCTAAACTTGGTTCACGATGTACAAATGTGGATAGACAGAGTATACCTAATCCAAGTGTATTTTCATCATAATGCTCCAGAATACAATGACACCATGGGCATCTTTCAGTAGTTAGTGCAACAGTCATTGCAGCAGTAGTTAAACTAGGCAGAGTATTTGTATTTGTACTTGGCATATGATTGTGAACACTTGTATAGGTTGTATTTTGAGTAATTGGTGAAGGTGTATAACTATTTTTCTTGATATTTTCATGCTTTCTATCCAACTTCACATTATCAGATAAATAAAGTCCTTCAGCAACTGATTGTGAACGATTCACTGTTAACGAATTTGATGGTGGTATATCACTTGAGGAGTATAATTTACTCTGTGATACACTGTCTTCACCAGATGTATCCAATGGATGAGATAAAGTTGAAGTTGTTGGTATAGTGAATTTAGTTTGCTGATTGTTTGAACGTTTACTTTTATTCAAAGGTGAAACAGAGTCACTTAATGAGTCTAGTAATGGTGTTGACTGGATATGACTGGGTGAATCAGATTTGAGTGATTTTAGCTTCCTAAAAACAAAAAAACAAAAACAGACTCATAGATTTTCAACAAGGATAAGAATATTAGCTGATTTAAAGTTTCAGTCTATCTCGACAATCGTAATAATTCAGAGATTGATTAGGGAGACTTCACTTAAGTTGGTTGATTTATGTCATATACAGTTTTTCTATTCTTTTACTCACAAAATACTTCTATGTGTGAAACAAAGACTACAATCACATAATACATTGAAGATGAAAATGATCTATTGCAGGTAAGTCATATAAGTTAGTTTTATTAGATAAATGATAAGATTGTAGTAATCAATCCCATTTCATCTGAAGGCAAAAGACAATGATATAAAATGGAGAGCTATTCATTCGAGTAAAGTCTAAGTGTCCCTAACATTCTCTAGTAGAAATCGAAAAATCCTATGGAAAATTAGTTATTCTGAGCATTATTTGTTGATAGTATTACTCACAGCACGGTAATCAAAAGTGTACTGTATGGATAAGCTCAACCTAATTGAAGCTTTTTCTAGCTATCGAAAAACAACTCCCCAGGTGCCGATAATTTTCTACGAATTGATAAGAATGTTCTTTGGGCCATGAAAGTCTCACATAGCATTTCTATCCATGGATAATATAATATAATAGTTTATAAATATGAAGGTCTTCTCAAGGTTTTTTTATATCTTATTCAGTTTTTCTCCTTACTGATTTCACAATATTAATAATACACTGTAAATATATATAAAAGGGGGTTATTACTCCTGGTGTGGTGGTCCATTTTAGCCGTGTGTTTTTTAAAATGTGAATTTGGTTTTCTAGTTATCCTGGTTTTGAAACATATGGTCCCTAAACAGATCTTCGGGAGAGCGAAAATAAAAAATTCCCCCGTCTTTACACATCATTTAAGGTGTTTCTATTAGACGGAGGTTATGAAAATAACCAACCAACAACAACAACAACAGCACCAAAATCCAGCGCCAATCACCATCAACGGGGGGTATTTGAAAGAGGTTACTTCATTCATTCACTTATCTAGGGAGCATTGTCTCAACTACAGGCAGTCGAGACGGACAAGGATGTCAAATAGAGCGAGAATCGGGAAGGCGAGAAGCACATTCATCAACCTGAAACCAATCTGGAAATCTTCGTCACTCAGCCAGCATCAACAACAAAATCCAGTCGGATTTTCAATACAAACAACGTCAAGTCAGTCAGTTCTTCTATACGGATCAGAAACTTGGCGGGTGGGTCACAAAGAATATTTCCAACAGACTGTTGCAGACCTTCATCAACCAACAACTGTCTTCGCTGGCTCTATACTGAAGATCAGATGGCCGGGCTGGAAAGAATCACCAACAACAAGAAACTATGGAAACAAACAAACAAAACGAGAACCAATCGCCAACCAACAAATATGCAGGAGAAAGTGTAGACGGATTGGACACTCGCTGAGGAAGCCGGTTGGTGACATCGCGCGCGCGTCAGGCCATTGCTCCAGTGGAACCAGACCGAAAGGGAAGCCACAAGTAGGACGTCGGTGCAAGGGTGACATGGAGGAGATCGTGTGAAGAGGAGTTGAAAGAGTATGGACTAACATGGATGGAGGTAAAAAGTACAGCAGAAGGAAGACAGAAGTGGCAAATGGAGATGGGCAATTGAAGCCCCATGTTCCACTAGGAACCCAAGGGAACAATATTAATAATGATATTATACTTTCACTTAATGTCGATTAATTTTAATAATTTAATAATAGTGACTTCATTCTGAACAATATTAATATAATGTAAGGAATTTTCGGTGGAATTTATTGCACACTATTTTCTCTTCGTCCAGAATCTTCAAGTAAAGTAGCAACTGACGGTAGATCGTGTGGCACAATGCCCTGTGACCTGAAGAGCAAACAAATGCGTAATAACATTTCTTCTTTGTCTCCTTCAAGAAATGCGCATTTATGTTGAAAGACAATTAAATAAATTGAGTTTTATTTCCTATGGAGTGCCAGTTTGAACTAAGAATCTCAGAAACAGTTGTATCAGGTATTGGGATATGTCACCGCTCAGGATCATGTTTTTTTCTCAAGTATAGTAGAAACTTACACATTCAGTAAGCCGTAAACATTTTAAATACTTTGCATACTTTAACAGATCAAAACAAAGCAAACAGAAGAAATCGCATGCAATATAATGATGGGGGATTTTAGTAGTTGGAGTTTTAAGCAGGCTGTTGTGTACTGTTGTAGGACTATAATGTGTGGAGTTAAACAACTCATATTCATTGGTGTCATGATGCTAACTAGTCGTAAAGTAGCAAACAGATGTGATCATTAAAGAATTTTTTATTTATACTCTTGAGATTCAGTGACGACTCAAAGGAGCCATTTTATAACTAAATGTTAACTACTCTTTGACTAAGGCTACATATACTATGTAGTTATTTCACGTAAGATTGCTCAAAAGATGTAATCAATTAAACAAACGCAGAATAAAGAAAGAACAAGAGTACTCGAAATTCCTTCACCTCTGTAAACTATACACCGTTATACTTTGAGATGGGAGCTTAACGAAATTGAATGATTCATTGCATAAACTTCTCAATGTAATTTGCAATTATATGTGACTACATTAGTTTTTCCTAGTCTAGTTCAACACTTTAATCTTACCTTGATATTGAGTTTTTCTTCAGGTACTACTGAAAAGTGAAGTGACTTATGTACAGAAGTTTATCTTACTCAGCCTCTTTTACCGTCTTGTCTTATGTTTCCTCCAAACACTAGGATTTTTGAATGATCTATTTTCTATAAATTCATCTGCAGCTTAATAGAAATGTTAAAGAACCAGTAACTCTTTGCTCTTTATGTATCATAAAGACTAACTAGATCAAACATTCTATAATATCTATGAGATTACAGACATCCTATTGGAATAAAATGCGAAAATAAACAACACAGAATGGTGTTTTCATCTTCCTTCCTTCTATGGTGTTGACCAAAGTATGTTAGTTTTGAATAATCTAAATATAATAAGTAATGAGATGGTTTTGAAATAATGGAGAGGATTTGTACTTCAGATGGATGGTATTGAGTTAGTTGTGTTCTCTGAGCTGGTTGGTTTAATTGAGAAGCTTTTATCATCCTTCTACTAAACAAGTATACAGAAAATCAACGCACACAGACCAAATACTCAACTATAATAGTGATAAAACAATTAACCACAAAAGAGACTGTTTGTGGCCAGACATTGTTTAAATGACTTCAAGCACACTGTAGCACTCTAGTGTTGAAGAGAATGGAGGAGAAATGCCTACTAAGCATTTCCAAAAAGAATAGATATCCACACAATTTCATCAAAAATCTCGAGTCACAACACCAACAAGAAACCATCATGAAAAACCACAAGAAAATTCATCTATCCATATATAAAAGAAATCTCTGAAATAGCAGCTAGAACATTAAGACCGTTTGAAATATGTATAGCATACAAACCAGTCTAATTACTTTATTTGATATTGCGCAAATCAAAAGATCCAACCGAGAAAGAAGATAAAAATTAATACCGTTTTCAAAATAAACTGTAGAAACTTCAATAAGCATTACATCGGTCGAAGTGGGCGTCCCCTTCAAATCCGAATCCCAGAACACAAATTGGCTGTAAAAGACATGATATATATTATTTCTAACAGTTTTTTTCTTTTCCAACAATTATACGACAATGCTGCATGCCAAGTAATCCACAACGGGTAACTTACGGAAGCCTTCGAAGTGAGGACGGGAGTGAGGCAAGGCTGTCTACTATCGCCAATGATCCTCCTGATCGTAGTAGATTGGATAATGCGATAGACAACGGGAAACGAGGATACAGGCATAAAATGGACTCACACAAAAAGAGACTTGGAGGATCTGGACTTCGCTGATGATATATGTCTGATTTCCCATAAACTGGAAGATATGCAAGTGAAAAGCAACAAGCTGGCAGAACAAGCATCCAGAGAAGATAGGACACCATTCAGGTGAACATAGATAAAACAGAGGTGATGAAGATTCCTGGCCAACACCAAAAGCCACAGCAACAACAACAACAGACAACAATCACCCAGCATAAATGGGGGGAGCCTGAAAGAAACAACCTCCTTTACCTACACACCTACCTGTGAAGCATCGTTTCAACTACAGGCCGACGGAACTGACGAGGATATCAAAGCCAGAATCGGAAAAGCAAGACAAGCTTTCATTACTCTCAAGTCTGTGTGGAGTGGAGGTCAACAGCACTCAACACGAAAACGAAAATAAGATGAGGATTTTCAACTCCAATGTGAAGTCAGTCAGTGCCACTTACTATAGGGATGGATCAGAGACTTGGTCAGCGCGTCATAAAGAGCATCTCCAACAAACTTCAGACCTTCATTAACAGTTGTCTTCGCTCAATACTACTCAAGATCAGACAGCCGGCCAGAAAAGTTCAGGAACATGGATCTCTGGCAATGAGCGAACCAACCCAACAGGAACCGATTGTGAAACAATTAGGCAGGAAGCAATGGAGGTGGATTGGATTGACCATACTCTGAGGAAACCATCAAGTGACATGACTAGACAAGCCCTCGCTCGAGTGGAACCCGAAAGGGAAGCGGGCGGCGAGTTGGTCTTCAGTGCAAGGGTGACTTGGAGGAGATCATGTGAGGAGGAGATGAAAGCATGTGGGCAGACTTGGAGCTGGGTGAAAAAGTTGTCAGAAAACCGAAAGCAATAGAGACGTGCAGCTGAAGCCCTATGTTCCTCTAGGAATTAAAGGATATAATAATAATATATTCTTTCGTATCAATGCAAGCGAATAAGTTTTCACACCAATTTGTTTGGGATAATGTAGGAATTTTAAATAAATGAAACACCAAAAATACTGCTAGGGAATTCTTAGAAGCCTGATATTCAAGTGAGTCAACATTTAACAAACACATGATTATAGACCAAATTTACCAGCTGATAAAAAGTAAATCTCATGACAAGAGATTTCGATTTCCAAGCCAATAAAAATGACCAGTAGGAATGTAAGTTAACAACCAGCCACGGCAATGGTTCCCAGGAAATGCAATTACGTTACTCATGGAGAATTTAAATAAGTCCATTTTATCCTAAAATCTTCGCTGAAGATGTTGTCTAGAAGGACGGCAAAAGCTTCACAGTTAAATCAACCAGATCAGAGAACACAACTAATCCAATGAGATGATTTTCAGTGCTAAAAACAGGTCTAACATTGGGGTATTAGAAAAACGATTTCTTAATTTTTAGCCATCCGTTTTGTAAACAACTGCTACTTTATAAACAAGGTGGTTATTAGGCTCTTTAATTGTGATTAAATTCAACTCAGGAAAGAAGAAAACAGTATAACAGTTAAGTTAACTTATGTATAATCACATTTCAGTCAGTCAGCTGTTTCTCTAAAGCAAACTGAAAAAAAGCCTCTGAATTAAAGTCATGTGAAATCTTACTTTTCATCTTGAAGATTAGAACCAGAACCTCGTTTAGGAAATCTTAGTGTTACTTTCTTCGGCGATTTACATTCATTCGATCCACCTAGTGAAAGGAAAATTAAAAAAAACTTTATAGAATATTTTGCACACTTTATAGCTATTTTTCATTTTGACTGAAGTTTTTCTAGGACATAAACCCGAGTCACAGAATGATTTAAAGTAGATATCTTTAGATCACCTTACGAAATTGAATTTTCAGGGATGTTCCGAATTTCACTCGTGAGAAAGAAATATGATGTATATACCCAAATTGACAAGGAATGGAAATCAAAGGCACTACCTGAACAGTTTAATTTTTCTTCATATGGGATCATCAACCGAAATAATTAGAAATTTCCAGAGTACATGAAATCACAATGAGATTTGCTTAAAAACTGAATTTCAGAGTTCAAGGATTGCTTATAATGAATGAGTGTGTAAACTAAATGTTCACTTTCTACTGTTATGTTAACCCAACCTCGGTTTAATTGCACTAGGTGTAATTTGAATTATTTAATCAGTGGGCAGACAAATTCGTCAGTAACTTAAAGTCTGTTTTTCTTTCACCACAAGAGCCATAATCAAAACGGTTATATGACAAATTAATTCAAATGTAATTCCATCTATACTAGTCATGTTGCAAGGTAGATTTTCACTATATGAGGACATCGTGTAGCAAGTCAATATGCAATGAACAGCTACTTCATCATAACTCGGGACTTTCCACGAGTTCACATCCATAACTTCATTAAGAATCAACAGGTACGGGTTGACCTGATTGTTTCCCTTCATGAATAGTTGTTAACGTCAGATAAATGGGACCTATTATTTACAAAATAATTTACTTGGATTTTTCAATATTGCTTTGCACTGCAGCTACACTAAGAATGATGACTCAGTGAGCTGGAGTTAAACAACTACATTATTGATCTACATCATTACATGTGTGACTAGTTTGCTTAAGCAATCGAACGTTGATCAGTCGGTACCTAGTTTTGAACCAACCACCTGATGTCTTCGACTGTCAGGCATAAAAAATATTGAAACCACCACCAGGTAATTGATTTATAGTGATTTTTTATGAGCTGCACAGAAACCTTACAGTAGTTCTTTCAAACACCAACAGACAGTAGTAGCAATTTATGAATTCAGTGTAACTAACGGATTAATAATTTCATAGTTTTAAATGAAAAACTAACCTTTTGCTTGTGATTCACTTGTTTGTGTTATCATTGCTTCAGTTTTGTCTTGTACTGAAGATGACTCAGTAGTGTCCGATAAAAGTGGCTATTTTACGCAGTTATGAATGGCAAAAATTAAAAAAAAAGATCAGTATATGATTGTTAAGAAAAATAAAAAGGACAGTAATAGAATTAAATGGTCTTTGCGCAATGACTCGGAGAAATAAATTGGAGGTATATATCACCGTAATGCAAAATAGATGAATAAATGCTCAAACGAAATAACTCGATCAAAGCAAGAACCTGTTTTATAGCATAAAGAAACACTACAGTTAAAAGGAAATGATTCATACGATTTTTGACTATAGATTAATTCTATACAGGTAAAACTTAATACTTCCTTGCATATATGAAATTCTGAAGAAACTTTTATACATGAAAAAAAATGATTGACATGTAACTTTTAGAACACACAGCATACAGTAGCCACCTAATTTATTCGATATGTGAATAATTCCCCTGAAGAATTAACACTATTTGTCAAATTGAGCATATTCTTCTGTAACAGTAGAAGATATGAAGTTTGTATGTGCATATTTTCTCATCATTGTTGTGTTCCCTTTGGTTGAATGGTCAAATTGAAAAGGTTTCTTTGTCCTTCTAGCCGATATCTAACCTCAAAATACAGTAAACCATCCAGTAGAGGAAAAGTAGCAAGACCAAAAAGATTCACCTGCACTATTAGTTTGCATTATCTTAATATATATATATATATATATATATTTCAATATTGTTTGGTTTTTTTAACCGGGAAAAATGAATAGTCTCCATCATATTCAGCAGAACGCACGTCTAGAGCTTATATGATATGATTATGAGCAACAAGTTGTGCTGAAAACATCATCCATTTGTTAATAGTGCATCAGAGTGTGTGACACCAAATAAGCATAACTAATATGGAATTAAATTCTACATGGTGCGGGAATTTGACTCATATATTAAACCGATCAGTAGTCATACTACTTCTATTAGAAATGAAAAAAAAATCAATTGAAGGGAAAAGTTTCAACACCAATGGATTGGTGTGAAATATTTTGTACAGTGAAATATTTAAACACTTATAATCAGATTGTTAAAACAATTAAAATGTAGTGTTTACGTAACATACTAGGTTCTTACAGACTTTTGTAAAGGGAAGCGCCCGTTAGATGTATAAAGATTGAACGGAAAACATTATAATTACTGGAAGAAAATCTAGTATACAGGTAGTTGCCCGTCTGTAAAAGGCTCAGTAAGTAATTTGTCGAAGAATATTCATTCTGAAGGCTTTAAATATTTCTCTCTCTGTGTATTACAGATTTACCGGTGTTCTGCGTAGTTCATAATTAAGGTGTGTTGTTCATTTTTCAAGACAAGTAAGTCAAAAGTTTTAGAATTAAAGTAGGTTATCAATAGTTATTTTGACAAAAAAATGTCTGTCTGTCTATCTGGATTCAACATAGAACTTGTCACCGAAGTGCACCAGTTCGAGTTGCCACGTTCCAAATACCACACAAAAGTAGACAAGAAGATGAGTGAAGAGAATCAATAGAGTTTCACAAGTATAAGATCCAAACAGAATGGGTAATGGTAGAAAGGAATATGAAAGATTACAGAGACTGAATACATCTGCGCTGGCCATTGACAACGATTTTGAGCCATGTCACCTATTGTCTCCAGCCATTGATTCCTAGAGTCAGTCCCGAGGGCCCCAACCCGGGAGTCTGCATCTCCCTCCCTACCTGACGACTCAGTTTAACTGTCAAGGATTTCATGGATTGATGAGGCCATGTTTTTGTTTAGCCACCATTTACTCCTTTCTAACCCGCACCTATATCAGCTAGTAATGTCCGTCGGGGGAGGCGATGGTTATGCATGCGCACCACGTGACCTAGCCATCTCAATCCATATAACTTTATAGCCTCGTCGATTGATTTTCTCTCTTCGCCCAACACTACGCCTAACGTCAAGATTACTTAGCTTATTATACCATCTAACCTGAGAAAGAGATCGCAGACATCTATGATCAAAGACAGTCAACCTTTTCATGTCTTCAACTCGTATTGGCCATGTTTCAGAGCCATAGAGAAGGACGGAGCGAACTGTTGAGCAGTACACACGTCCCTTGGTTGATAGCCGAATGTCACGAAAAAATGTACGTAATTTTTATTCAGAAGTACTATTACATTACTGTAAAGTAGCAAGTACGGCTGACACTCAAGCTGACACACTGAGACCTCTTCCGACTAAATCAAATATTGCAGAAGTAACCAAATCACGGAGATGTCCGCAACCTATGCCGAAAATATTCATAATCGAAAGTTGAAGTAGGAGGATATACATGATAAAGTATAAAAATGAATGATGGTAAAAATAGTTGCTGGGGAAAGTAGTTCATTTGAGTACTACTCTTCTCAATAGCTTATTTTACTATTTTAATATTGTGTAAATTGTAATTCTCCATCTAGCTGCATCAAAAACATTTAAAGTATCATACTACACTACGTGAGGCTGAAACTAGCTAAACACTAAACTACCTAATTATCTAAACACAACATTTATCGTGCATATAGTAAACGCCAAAATAGCCAACTATCTAACTAACTAACTAAATAAAATATGAAAAGTAAATGTTACAGAGAACGCTACATATAAATATGCATGTATATTTCCTTTTTTAGATAGTAACAAGGCATAGTTATATACTGATTTAATTAAAAAAGAAGCAAAAACTATGATCTTCAATTTGCTAAACATTATTTTCTATTTTCATTTATAATTCATTCCAGGTAGAATGGAACTCATTGATACGAAAAATATCCACTACAAATCATTCCGTATATTTTCGCATGTCAGTCAGAAACTCGATGTAATAATATATATATTTCACATAAATTAAGGATTTACATGATTCACATACCGTTTGTACAGGCATGATCATATTATACAAGTGCAGTCTGAAATCGAACACTGTTTTATGAAATTAAAAATTGGAAAATGACCTCTAGAAACTTTATAAGAATAGAACATAAGGTCTTGGTTTAAGTCTAAATTATAATATTTAATATACTCATAGTGAGTCAGATTCATGCGGGAATTATGAAATTTTGCGTTAATGGAATGTAAGAAGAGAGGTGATATACATGTGCTGGAGTACGCCACACTGGATCCAGACCGTTATTTTTATCATTTTATCAATCAATAAGGGTTCGAAAGTTTATAAAAATCCACATTAGATGGTAAGTACAGCATTATATTGGTATTAGCAGATAGAAGGGACAAACTGGTCGCAAAGTTAACTTTGTGATGTTGAACAGAATTCAGAATGGAATTTGTTCCATTGTTCATCGTAAGTGCTAACAATATTCTAGATACCGCTCAAGTAATACAAATGTAGAAAGCAGGATTACTGTTCATTAGAAGTGCTTCAGTGCAATACCTTCGAGAAGGAAGAAAACAGAAGCAGCCAGCAGATAATGATAATTTAAGTAAACAATATGCGATAACCGCAGTGTTTATTCTTCTTTTTTATTACTAGGAATTTCTAGTCATTGAGTTTTATAGTGTTACATACCAACGGTTAGTTTAAGTTTATAGTAGTAAACAACAACTGAAGTATAGAATAACAATAAAAAAAGAAAAATTAGGGCGAAACGAATTATGGTTTTTACTCTTATATAGGGTAATGTTGGGAATAGTAACTGAAAAAGTGAAATCCAAATGCCAAAGTACATAAGTTATTTAAAAGAAAAGAGGAAGTATATTAATACTGATTTATGCTGTTGTTCTGATTTATACAGTTAGATGTCCTCCTGAAGTAGAGAAATCGTATCATGAGCCATTTTTTCAAAGAGTTTGTACGCAAGCTGTGACATACAGGCAGCATTTATTTTATTTATTTATATATATATTTTTGAAGTAATTCATCCTCAGGAGCCTTAGCAGTATAGTGCATTGCCACAGATAAGGGTGGTTCTCTTAGGTCCCCACCATCATATCCGCTGAATAGCAGTCAGAAATTCTAATAACTTTAGAGCGCAGCTATAATTTACCCTCTCCAAAAGGATTTAGGGAAAAGTTAGTAGGTTAGGAAACTGAACTACTCATTTGACAAACAAATTAGGAGAAAAAATAACTACCAGTTTTAAATGTATGTATCAATTCTGCGTCGTTATAAATAACAAGGCTTGTCTACAGTTCTGTGTTTTTTGTAACTATGTGTCCAAAGAGGATGTATCAGTAGTGTAAACTGCATGCAGCTACATTTGACAAAGTGGTCAGAAGAAAGATGAATTAAAGATGAATTATCGCCAATTTCAACCTTCTAATACGATTTTCAGAAAATATTTTGAAATAGGGAATAAAATATACAACTGAAAAGTGATTTTATTCTCTGTCATGTTCTTTAGGATACTTTTACGATAAGAGGGATTTTGAAATAATAGAAAAGATTTGTAACTCAGGTGGATGATTTGCAATTGATAGTGTTCTCTGAGCTCCTTGGTTTAATTGCGGAGCTTTCATCGTCTTTCTGGACGACATCTTCAGCGCAGTATTTAGGATAAAGTGAAATGATTTAAATTTCTTCATGAGTCTCCCGGTAACCATCTTTAGATATTTATTGACCGTTTTCTATTGATTGGGATTTTAAACTTTCTGATCACCTGATTTACTTCTTATTAGTTGGTATATTTCATCTATATTAACGTGTTTATTAATTGCGTTTTCATTTGAGTACCAGGCTTCTAGGAATTCTCTGGCACATTTGGTGTTTCCTCTGTTTAAGATTTTGACATTATCCCAATCAAATTGATGTCCATGATCGTCTGAATGTATTGATACTAAAGAATTTATATCATGTCTTTTCACGGCTGATTTGTGTTCCTGGATTCTTATTCGAAGGGGACGCCCACTTTGGCCGATGTAATGTTTGTTACAGTTCACACAATTTATTTTGTAAATGGTGTTAATTTTATCTCCCTTTTCTATCGGATCTTTTGGTTTGCATAAGATGGAATTAAGCGATTCAGCTGGTTTGTGTGCTACATCTATATCAAACGGTTTCAT